TAAGATCTGCAACCCCAGGTCTTAAGAGAAATGTTCAGTAGTGCTCCAGTAATATATACAAATAGTTTACCTTTTCTGTTCATCCTTGATTTGTTACAATTCCCAGAAACTAAAGCACTCCCAAGGAGAGTATTTATTCCATATGTGAAGTTTATGATTTCTCTTACAACAAACGTTAGAATCCACAAATGAAGACAGGTTAGAGAAAAGTCTGAGATCCAGAAACAAGAGACAAGCAATGACTCAGTTTAAGTGACCTTACAAAATACTAAGCTTCTTCAAATGTGTATTATAAAGAAACTATATGGTGATTTAAAAATTTTGGCAAAAGAATAAACATTTTTAATTCTGTAGTTCCATGAACATTTTGAAATATCTTTCAATCTTAAGCCGGTAATTTCAATTAAAATTTATCCCTTGAATGAATATAATTAATCATTGTTAATCACACCATTGCTTGTCTTGATAACTATAAAATAAATCATCATTAATATAACAAACCTAGGTAGCAATGGGGAAAATATATCATATACTCATTATCTTCACAACTAATAAGATAGACATATCACTTCTTTACATTTATTATGGGCTGAGTAGCCAGTCTTCCACCAAATACTACTCCTAAGCTCAGTTTAGTCACCTATGAAAAGGGAATAACAGTAGCAGTCACCTCAAACAGGGTTAAAATAATTCATGCAAAACATTTAGTACAAATACTGTATTCATTTTTATTTATTTATATAAGGAGAATAGATTTCATGTATTTCTTTTTTAAAGATTTATTTATTTGTTTGAAAGTTAGAGTTACACAGAGAAAGAAGGAAAGGCAGAGGGAGAGAGACAGAGAGAGAGACAGAGAGGGTGAGGGTGTTCCATCTGCTGCTTCAGTCCCCAATTGGCTGAGACACCTGGAGCTGTGCCGATCTGACCAGTAGCTTTTTCTGGGTCTCCCACATGGGTGCAGGGGCCCAAAGACTTGGGCCATCTTCTACTGCTTTCCTAAGCCATAGCAGAGAGCTGGATAGGAAGTAGAGCAGTTGGGACTCGAACCGGAGCCCTTATGGGATGCTGGCACTGCAGGTGGCATCTTTACCAGCTACAACACAGTGCTGGCCCCTCATGTATTTCATACCTACAATTTTAAGCTTATGATACTTCCTACCTACCCTCCCTGCTCCTTCCTTCTTTTTTTTTTCTTTCAATTTTTGAGATAACATACTTTCAATTTACTTTATAGTCATAGGCTTAATCCTCCATTTAGTAAAGAATTCAACAAGTAGAAAGTCCACTATTCTGTGGGACTATAGACAAGGGCTATAAGCAGTAATCAAATCTCAAAATGTCAGTTTCACTGGTAAACATTACATTTTTGTACCTTATGTTAGCTACAAATCAAAGAAAACATGTAATATTTGTCTCTTTTGGATCTGCTTTACTTCACTAAACATACTAGTATACAGTTGCATCCATTTTATTGCAAAAGACAGGGTTTCATTATTTTTTATGGCTGAGTAGTATTGCATCACATATATGTGCCACATTTTCTTTATCTAGTCCTCAGCTGAAAGACGTCTGGGTTGATTCCATATCTTAGCTATTGTGACTTGAACTGCTATAAACAGGGGATACAGATCTCTTTCATATGCTGATTTCATTTTGTTTAGGTAAATTTTTTAGAGTGGGATGATTGGGTCATATGATAGATCAATTTTCATATTTTGGAGGAATTTCCATGCTTTCTTCCCTTAAAAATATTCATTTATTTTAATGTCAGAGTTACAGAGAGGGAGAGTCAGAGTCACAGAGAAAGAAAGGAGTTTTCCATCCACTGGTTCACTCCCCAAATGGCTGCAATGCCCAGGGCTGGACCAGACAGAAGCCAGGAGTCAGGGGCTTCATCCAGGTCTCTCACATGGGTGAGGGGCCTAAGTCCTTGGGCTATCACCCACTGTTTTCCCAGGCACATTTGCAGAGAGTTGGATAGGAAGTGGAGCAGCCAGGACTTGAACTGAAACCATATGGGATGTCAGCACTGCAGGTGGTGGCGTTACCCTTTATGCCACAACACTGGCCCCCATACTGTCTTCCATTATGGTTATACTACTTTACATTCCTGCTATGTATTTAGGGTATCCTTTTCTCCACATCCTCGCCAATATTTGTTATTTTTTGACTTTTGGATGATAGCCATTCTTACCAGGGTAAGGTGAAACCTCATTGTGGTTTTTATTTATATTTCTCTGACAGGTAGTAGCCCTGAGCATTTTTTTTTTCATGTGTTTGTTGGCCATTTGTATTTCATTCTTTGAAAAGTCCCTGTTCAAATACTTTGCCCATTTCATTAATTTTTTTAAAGATTTATTTGAGAGGCAGAGTTACAGAGACAGAGAGGGAGAGAAAGAGAGAGAGATCTTCCATTTTCAGGTTCACTCTCCAAGTGGCCACAATGGCTAGGGATGGGCCCATCCGAAGCTGGAAGCTACGAGCTTCTTGCCGGTCTCCCAGGTGGGTGCAGGGGCCCAAGCACTTGAGCCATGCGCCATTGCTTTCCCAGGACATCAGCCCAAAACTGGATTGGAAGTGGAGCAGCTGAGACTCAAACCAGCTGCCACATGGGTTGCCGGCACTGCCAGTGGAGGCCTCACCTACTATGCGAGAGCACCTTGCCCATTTATTAACTAGATTGTTTTGTTATTGAGTTTCTTGAGCTCTTTGTATGTTTTAGATAACAATCTTTTATTGTATGGGTAGTTTGCAGATATTTTCCTCCCATTCTATCCGTTGCCTCTTCATTTTCTTGAGTGCTTCGTTTGCGGTAGAGAAGCTTCTTAGCTTGATGTAATCCATTTTGTCTATTTTTGCTTTTCCTGCCTGTGCTTCTGGAGACTTATCCAAGAAGCCTTTGCCTATTCCAGTGTCTTGCACTGTTTCCCTCTTGTAATCTGATGTTTTCAGATCTTAGGTTTAGATTCTTGATCCATTGTGAGTTGATTTTTGTATAGGGTATATGACAGGCATCTTGTTTCATACTTCTGTATGTGGATATCCAAGTTTCTCAATATTAAATTCTTGAAGTGATTGTCCTTTCTCAAAGGAGTTATGTTTAGATTATTTGGCAAAGATTAGTTGGTTTTAGACGCATGGATTAATTTCTAGAGCTTCCTTTCTGCACCATTGGTCCACATATCTATTTATGTGCTAGTACTGGGCTGTTTTGGTTATAACTACACTGTAGTATATATTGAAATCTGGGATTTTGATGCCTCTGACTTTATTTTTATTCTTTAGAATTGGTTTAGCTATTTGGTGGGTCTGGTGTTTGCATATGAATTTTAGGATCATTTTCTAGATCCAAGAAAATGACCTTGGTACTTTCATTGGAGTTGCATTGAATTTTTAAATTATGTTGAGTAGTATGAGCACTTTGATGATAATAATTCTTCCAATCCATGAATACTGGAAAATATTTCCATTTTTTTCTGTTTCTTCTATTTATTTCTTTAATGTATTGTTATTGTCATTGTTGAAATTTTTCATGCCTTGGTTAAAGTTATCCCAAGGTACATAAAATTTTTTGTAGCTGTTCTGAATGGAACTGACCTTACAAGTTCTTTCTCAGATATGGCATTGTTTGTATATGCAAAAACTATAGATTTTCTTAGTGATCACCTATGACAACAATTTCATTGATTTTCTCCTCCAGGGGTCAGGTTAAGGGCTATAAAATAGCTGAGAACTCTGCCATACTCCTCTTCAGAGTTTCTTCTCTTAAATCTTTTTTGAAAATGCCCATTCTCACTCAGTTTACATTTTTTTAAAGATTTATTTCATTTATTTGAAAGACAGAGTTACAGAGAGAGGTAGAGACAGAGAGAGGTCTTCCATCACTGGTTCACTCCCCATATGGCCACAACACCTGGAGCTTCACCAATCTGAAGCCAGGAGCCAGGAACTTCTTCCGGGTCTCCCATGTGGGTATAGGAGCCCAAGGACTTGGGCCATCTTCTACTGCTTTCCCAGACCATAGCAGAGAGCTGGATCGTAAGAGGAGCAGCCGGGACTAGAACCGTCGCCTATGTGGGATGCCGGTGCTTCAGGCCAGGGCTTTAACCTGCTTTGCCACAGCACCGGCCCCTCACTCAATTTACCTTAAAAACAGTTGTCACTCCTGGGGCCAGCCTTGTGATGTAACAGGTTAAGCTGCTACAATGCCAGCATCCCAAATGGGTGCCTATTTAAGTCCTGGCTGCTCCACTTCTGATCCAGATCCCTGCTAATCTGCCTAGGAAAGCAGTGGAAGATGGCCCCAGTGTTTGGGCCCCAGCCACCCATGTGGGACACCCAGATGAAGCTCCAGGCTCCTGGCTTTGGCCTGGCCCAGCCTTGGCTTTTTCAGCTATTCAGGGAGGGAAACAGTAGATGGAAAATCAATCTCTCTCTCTCTCTCTCTCTCTCTCTCTCTCTCCATGTCTCCCCACCCCTCTCTTTATATAACTCTGCCTTTCAAATAAATAAAATATGGCTTAAAAAAAGCCACTCCTAAAACTGCTGTTACTTATAATTGGAAAGTAAGGAGACTCAAGGTGCCTGAGATGGCTGAGGTCCCTTCTGGCCTTAGGAGAAAAATGTTTCCTGAAGAATTTCAAAACTCCAGCCTAATCTTATCAAAAATAAAAAATAAATAATTGATTAATAAATCCATAGTTTCATCCATTTTAGTGTAAGATTCATTCTTCAGAGGACACTGGAAAACAGGAACATATCACCACACACATGAGGCATAAACTGGTATGTCCTTTTAAGTCCCTTCAAATTACACAGATTGTCCAAGAAAGTATAGCTTTAGGAATTCACTTTAGACCTATGAATGTGGGTGATGGCATAACTCCAGTCTTGTGGGTATATGCATGGGTGCACCCACATGTGCTTGGGAGGGGAGGGGAGAGTTGAGCACTATCTTTCTATTTCAATGGAGAGCTAATGCATGTGTATTAAACTAGATTATTTTTATAATCTATGAGAAAAGCAAAACATCACCAATCTAACAGCAAATGTCAGATTTGGTCTCCCTTTCTTACAAAGCCACCAAGATTCAGCCATGCAGCACCAGTAAGTAAGGTAATATTTCATAACTTTATCTCCTCCTAATTACTTCCCACAAACCCCACCTCTAAACCCTAATCAGACTAAGTTTCTACCCTCTTAATAACTCACAACGATTACTAGATTTCAACGTGAGTTTTGGGGCAACAAGCCATATTCGAACAATAGCAATCATACTGTTCTTCTTCCTCCCTTATTCTATGAATGTGGTATCCTATGTTGACTGATTTTCAGATATTAAAACAACTTAGCAATGTTGAGTGAAGTCACTTGGTCATCCTGTATTGTCTTTTGATATTGTTGTACTGGATTGGCTATTCTGTTGTTAAGAACTTTGCACTCATATTCATGTAGTCCTGTTTTCTGGCGATGTCATTTTTTCTGGTTTAGAATCAGGGTAACATTGGTCTTATTTAATTTGCCAAGTATCTGCTTGTTTATTTTGTCAAAAACTGCTTATACAATTAATGTTTCTTTCACATTTATATACAATTCACCTGTGAAACCATTTAAGCCTGGAGTTTACTTTGCTGGTGGATTTTCAATTGCAAGTTAATACCGTTAGTTGTTACAGAGCTGCTCACTACAGAGCTGCTCACATTCCTGTTGCTCCTAGGTTCTGCTTTGGTAATCTGCATCTTTAAAGACTCTGTTCACTTCATACAGACTGTCAAACCCATTGGCCTAATGTTATCAGAATATTATAATTTAATGCCAGAAGCGTCTGTCATCGTGGCCCTTCTTTCGCTCCTGATATTGGCAGTTTGGGTCTTCTTCTTCCCCGCATTTTGTTGTTGTTTAAATCACAAGAGTAATGCCTATGAGAGAATGAGAGGACCAGGGAGAGCTATCCATTTGCAGTATAACTCAGACCCTGGGCCAAAAAGAAAGGCACGGGTGAGAGGAGAAGTGTCCTACACTGCTGTGTAACACAAGGAAGACTGGAAGGTTTGACAGAGCCATTGGGAAGTCATTACTCACCAACCACATCTCAGGGAATTCACAGTTTTCCCCAGATAGCCGGCCTTAGTGCTCAGTGATGAGCTGGGTGCAGCCTGTGGGAACCATGGCTTCCCAGCAGTACAGCGGGTGCCAGTCAGACTCCCCGCTGGTAGAAGTCTGTGAGGCACGTTCTTAGGACTGCCACTTGCTCTCCTGTGCACTCACGGCGCTCTCCATTCTCAGTGCTTTCCCTGACTACTCCAGTTCAGAAAGGTGGCCAACCAATATTTATTGATCCCTTGTCAAAAACAATGGCCTTGTGTTTTGGTACCGCGCTTACTTGTGTATATCCAGATTATATCCAAAGTCATGCTTCTCAAGATCATCTTTAAGTGCCCCAAACTCAGAAACTTTATGAATTAATTCATTAGCCGTCTTGCTGTGCATGCTGCATAAGGAACGGAGAAGCTCATGATAAATCCCAGCTACAGTTTACTTAAAAATAATCAGCTGGAAGCTACTAAGAACGTGACGTGTGGAAAATATCATTTGTCTTTTTGTTTAGGGGCTAGTGTTTGGCTGGGTGGGTAAGGCACTGGCATCCCACATCAGTGGATCTGGGTTCATTACCTGCCTCCGGCTCCTTCTCCAACTTCCTGCTGGTGTGGATCCTGAGGGCCATGATGGTAGCTTTATAAATTGGATTATTTTCTTTTTAAGATTTATTTATTTATTTGAAATTCAGAGTTACACAGAGAGAAAGAGAGGCAGAGAAAGAGAAAGAGAGAGAGAGAGAGAGGTCTTCCATCTCCTGGTTTACTGCCTAGTTGGCCAAAATAGGCTGGAGCCACACCGATCCGAAGCCAGGAGCCAGGAGATACTTCTGGGTCTCCCACATGGGTGCAGGGGCCTAACGGCTTGGGCTATCTTCTGCTGCTTTCCTGAGCCATAGCAGAGAGCTAGATCAGAAGTGGAGCAGCCAGGGCTCTTAACTAGCACCCATAACGGATGCCATAACTGCACGCAGCAGCTTTACCCACTACACCACAGCACTGGTCCCAAGTAATTGGGTTCTTGAAATAACAAATTCTGGGGACCAGACATTTATCCAGTGTGGGTTACCCAGTGATAAGATAGATAGACTTGTTCCAACTTTGCTTACAGGTTTTGGAGACAAACACACAATAAACACTTAAATACGATAAACATGAGGGTATTTCAAAAAGTTGTTAATAAAATAATTAATATCAGGAAGTAGATAATATGAGCCTATGATAAATTATCACAGAATTCAAAGTTGAAAAGCCTATAAATAATGGTTACAATTTCTCTCCAGGTAGAAAGACCAGACTTTCTTCCCGCAACATCTCCAGGAGAGCACCTCTTTAACAAATGCTTGTTAACCTTAAATGGGATATCTGTGAAGATTTAAGAGAATTCTATGAATTCATTCACGTATTTTCTGTCTGTTTTTCATAGTTCATTACTTAGTGCTGGAAAACACAAAATTGAAGAGAATAATTTCCGTTTCCACAGTTGTTTAATCACACAGGTCATTGTAAGTGACAAATCTTGCTACTATTAGCTATTATCTATTTACAATTTATTTTATTTTTTCCACCATTTCAGCCCTTTAAAAACTATATGTGAGGGGCTGGCGCTGTGGTGTAGTCAGTAAAACCTCTGCCTGCAGTGCTGGAATCCCATATGGGTGCCGGTTCGAGGCCCGGTTGCTCCACTTCCAGTCCAGCTTTCTGCTATGGCCTGGGGAAGCAGTAGAAGATGGCCCAAGTCCTTAGGGCCCTGCAGCCACGTGGGAGACCTAGAGGAAGCTCCGGGCTCCTGGCTTTGGATTGGCTCAGCTCTGGCTGTTGCGGCCATCTGGGGAGTGAACCAGAGGATGGAAGACTCTCTCTCTCTCTCTCTCTCTCTCTCTCTCTGCCTCTCTGTAACTCTGAATTTCAAATAAATCTTAAAATAAACTATACGTGAAATGTTATCAATGTACTTGGTAAAGAGAAATTATAAATGGATAAGACATACTATCCTAGCCTCTGAAATTTGATAGTAGCTCTAATACAAAAATGCTTATATATTTGATTTGAATATTTTATATACCTTTTCATTGTAATCTGCAGAAAATCAAGGTTTGACTTTAAAAAAAAAGTATGTATTTATTTCCACTGTATTTGAAAGGCAAGGAGACAGGGAGTATTCTTCCATTCACTGGTTCACTCCCCAAATATAGCATCACTCAGAGCTGGTCAAGGCTGAAGCCAGGATGCTGGAACTGAATCCACTTGTCAGGGACCCAACTATTTGAGCCCTCATCTGCCACTTTCCAGGTACACATTAGCAGGATGTTAAATCAGAAGCAGAGGAGCCGGGTTAAACTAGGCATCCAACGTGGGATGCAGGCGCCTTAACCGCTGTACCAAATGTCCACTCCAAACTGACTTTTATACCTGAAAAAAAATCTCCTTAGTTATCACAGATTATTTTGGAAAACAGACCTAATACTTATGCTACTGAGCCAAATGGGTTCTTGCTGGGTGCGTACTGTCAATGAACATGCAAAACAAGGGTATTTTGGTTTAAGAAGGATTACAAGAAGGTAACCAGGAGTACCCGGGGATGGTTCTCAAAGCAGTACCTCTCTGATGCAGGAGGCAGTGCGGTCCATATAGTCTAGACTGTACATACTCATTTAGGGTCCTGAGGTCATTGTGTGCAGAGGCTGGACACAGGTGCAGAAGTTGGTTAGGCTTCTATGTGTATCCCATGTTTAGGAAATTACTCTTGGAGGGCCAGCCTTGTGGCCACAGAAGATTAAGCTGAAGCCTGCAATGACAGCATCCCTTGAGAGAGCTGGTTCGCATCCTCGGTGCTCCACTTCTGTCCTGCGAATGCACCTGGGAAAGCAATTCAAGATGGCCCAAGTACCTGGTCCTCTGCCACCCAAATGGGAGACCCGGCCCAGCCTTGGCCATTAAATCCGCTTGAGGAGTGAACCACTAGATGGAAGAGCTCTTTCTCTGTGTGTCTCTCCCTCTCTTTTTGCAGCTATGCCCTTCAAATAAATAAATATTAAAAGAAAAAAATGACTTCCAGTGTGGGTATGGTGGTGCAGTGGGTTAGGCTGCTGCTTTTGACACTGGCAACCCATATTGGAGCAGTGGTTGGAGTCCCAGCTGCTCCACTTCTGATTCAGATCTCTGCTAATGCACCTGAGGAGGGAGATGATGATGGCCCAAGTCCTTGGGACCCTACCAGTCACATGGGAGACCCAAATGAAGCTCCTGGCTCCTGGCTTTGGCCTGGCACAGGCTGGGCTGTTACAGCCATTTGGAGATGGAAGATCTGTGTGGGGTGTGTGTGTGTGTGTGTGTGTGTGTATCCCCTCACTCTGGCTTTCAAATAAACAAAAATGAGAGAAGAAAATTGTTTACAAGTCCCCTCCAGAGGACAAGACTTTATTATTGTTACAGGACAAGTTTACCAAGGCACTTGCACATGTTCTTGTTGGGGTCAGCTTGAACAGGCTCTTTGCAACTTACTGTCCCGTGACTGTTGGCTGGCCCCTAGCACCCATCTGAGTGTTAGAAGATAAGCTCCCTGGAACATTCGCTGAAAATCAGGCCCAAAAGAATAGGAATTTATAAGTTGTTTTATATTCTTTGTTGTGTTCCTTTTTCTAAATGCTGTCTTATTGTTTACAGTTATGAAGTTACTTTTTTTTTTTCTTTTAGGAAAGTCTTAATAGACATCGATACCTGAATTCTTTCTTTTCTCACGAAAACTCCACAGCCTTCTATGGAATAAATCAATTTTCTTATCTGTTTCCTGAAGAGTTTAAAGGTTAATCCATTCATTAATTACTTTTAAATTATATGCTTAATTCTTGAGAAGTTGTTTAATTTTAATTCTAGTAAATTGAGTAATAATTAATATTTGTTAACTGCTTACTAACTGTTAAGCAAGTACCATGTGCTAACTGTAAAAAATATAAATTCATAGTCATTTTCTGCTAATTATTACTAAAGAACTAAATATTACATTTGGCCTTAGCCAAGAGGCCGAGAAGTGATAAAACTAAATATTAAAAGTATATACATTTCCATGAGACAATGAGGGATCATTGTCTCATCAATACTGCATTTTTTAGTGCTATTTTCATTCAGGTCCCCCAGAGTTCCACGAATTACGATAAAACAAATGATGTCAGTTAAACTCATTTGTATTATTGACCTGGTTCCGTCAAACAAGTCATTTTAATGCGCCAGCTCCAGTCTTTCTGTGGAATTTCTTGTCTGTAGCTTCCTGCTGAATTCATTGTCTGTCACAAAGAATGTGAAATGGCAGATCTGCTAGGACGCTACTGGGTCTGCTTGAAAAGTTCATCCAGAAAGAATCGCAAAGGCCCCTCCCTCTAATGTACTGATTGCCTTTCCTTTTCATGTTTCTCAGCCATCTATTTGAGAAGCCAGCCTTCCTCATCCCCCAGATACCCTGCGGAAGTGAAGACGTCCCTCCTCACAGTGCCCTTGCCATTAAGATTTGACTGGAGGGACAAACATGTTGTGTCTCAAGTGAGAAACCAGCAGATGGTGAGTTTTAGAAGCGTTTTCTTTTTTAATCAGCTACTCACAGGAAGCCACCTTTTAGGTCAAGTTCACTGAAACTTGAAACAGGACCCATGGTTTCTCCAGGTGAAATTGAACTTCAGTCATTCCAATGTGATAAGGAAAGGGGACTCTGGAAGAATGAGGGGCGGAAGTCAAAGCCAGGACTTCTGTTCCTGAATACAGAGCTTCCTTGGGGTGTTCTCTCACTGCCATTGCCACCAGCACACTGAGTCAGGGCTACTTCCCAGGGGCTGCATCGTGGGTTCCCAGCCCTCACTGGGAAAGTAAAATGGAAGTGAGGCCGGCGCTGCGGCTCACTAGGCTAATCCTCCGCCTTGCGGCGCCGGCACACTGGGTTCTAGTCCCAGTCGGGGCGCCGGATTCTGTCCCGGTTGCCCCTCTTCCAGGCCAGCTCTCTGCTGTGGCCCGGGAGTGCAGTGGAGGATGGCCCAAGTGCTTGGGCCCTGCACCCCATGGGAGACCAGGAGAAGCACCTGGCTCCTGCCTTTGGATCAACATGGTGCGCTGGCTGCGGCGGCCATTGGAGGGTGAACCAACGGCAAAGGAAGACCTTTCTCTCTGTCTCTCTCTCTCACTGTCCACTCTGCCTGTCCAAAAAAAAAAAAAAAAAAAAAAAAAAAAAAAAAAAAAAAAAAAGGAAGTGAATATGTTTGGCAGCCATCTGGCTGTGTTTCCTGGATTCTCAAACTTTGATTTGCAAGCTTCATCAGAAACCCCTCCTCTCATTACTGCCCCCTACAAGTCCACACACCATTTAGTCTGTGATCTGTTAAAGCAGTCAGTTCAGCTACAATATAACATATATATTTCTAAAAAGCACCACCTACACCAAATTATACAAATGACAGAGATTGTTGGATAAATAAGGTTTGGATAGAGGGTTAGAGTTCAAGAAATTCAACAACAACAAAACAAACAATTCAGTTAAGAAATGGGCAAAGGACTTGAACAGACATTTTTCAAGAGAAGAAATTCAGATAGCCAACAGACACTTGAGAGAATGCTGAGGATCACTAGCCATCAGAAATGTAAAGCAAAACCCCAGTGAGGTTTCTCCTCACCCCGGTTAGAATGGCTCTCATACAGAAATCAACGAATGACAGATGTTGGTGAGGATGTGGGGAAAAAGGTGCCTTGGTCCACTGTTGGTGGGAATGTAAACTAGTACAGCCACTGTGGAAGACAGTATGGAGATACCTCAGAAATCTGAATTAGGCCTACCATATGACCCAGCCATCCCACTCCTGGGAATTTACCCAAACTAAAAGAAACCAGCATATGAAAGAGTGATCTATACCCCCATGTTCATTGCAGCACAATTCACAATAGCTAAGATATAAAATCAACCTAGATGTCCATCAACTATTGACAGGACAAGAAAATTACTATATATATACACTATGGAGTACTACTCAGCTGTAAAAAGAAAAAAAAGTGAAATACTGTCTTGCAACAAGATGGGCACAACTGGAAACCATTATACTTAGTGAAATAAGCCAGTCTCAAAAAGACAGATATGTATGTTTTTCCTGATCAGAGCTGACTTATTGAGTACCTGAATGTAATGTATTGGAGTGAAATAGACATTTTGATATTTGATGATCATTACAGCCCTTGTCTCCTCTACTGAGGAACAGTGTTTTTTTTTTTTTTTTTTTTTTTTTTTCATACTATTTGCTAAACTCTTTACTTCCTGTAGGGTTAACTATGTGATCATTAAGTAAGTTGAAAATAGATCTTTACAAAAGTTAAGAATGGGAATGTGAGCAGGAGGGAGAGTTGTTGGAAGTATCACTATGTTCCTAAATCTGTATATATGAAATACGTGAAACTTGAATAACTTAAATAAAACTTAAAAAAAAACAGTGACACATTTTAAAAATTGAAAACTAATACAGTAGCACAACTTTGCATGTGTTAAATGATTTAACCTATGTAAGTATTGCAATAAATATAGCAATTTACCTTTAAAAAGACCTGAGGTGTGCTTATGGGCGTGTTGGAAAATCTGCAGCTTGGGGCAGATATTTGCTACAGCAGTTCAAACACTGTGCGCTGCACAAGATCCCCACATCCCACATCAGAATGCCTGCGTTCAGGTGCTGGCTCTGCTTTCCACTCCAGATTCTTGCTAGTGCATACCCTGCAAGGCAGCAGGAGATGGCTGAGCCATGTGGATCCCTGCCACCCACATGGGACACCCCACTGAGTTCCAGGTCCTGTCTTTGGCCTGGCCCAGTACCAGCTGTTTCAAGCATTTGAGGAGGGGACCAGTGGATGGGCGCTTTCTCTGTGTCTCTCTGTCGGTATGTGTGTCTGCCTTTTAAATAAATTAAATAAATAAATAAAATTTACCCAAATTAAATAAATAAATAAAATTTTAAAAATAACAAAGCCTCAACTTGTGGTTATCGTGGAGTGGTGGAAGGAAGGTTACCTGGATTGAAGGAAAGCAGTTACACCAGTTGGGGATGGACGTGATCCATAATGCACAGAGTGCGTCTACGTAGTTCCTAGGTGTATGAGGAGTGTGTGCATGTTATGCTGGTAACCTCTACCCCTGCACAACCTGAGCGCTGGCACTGGGAACATAACAGACATCAAGCCTCTAACCACGGGGTGAAGGCACCAGTCAGTGCCTGGTAGAAACTAGGCAGTCATTCCCGCACATAGAAAGTTTTGGCCCCAGCAGTTCCTTAAGCAATGTCTACATAGTGATCATTGTTTATTTCTCAGATTCTATATTTATTAAACTTAGAAGTTTTACCTCCAAATCATTTGCTTTAATATTTGATTCATAATAAAATGTGAATTAATCATAAACCCATTCCTTCCAAGGGTTGACTCCAGTTTATTAAAAGGGAACATTCACTTAGATATGTTTGATCGAAGGAATGTACTGAGAGATGTTTTCTACCAGGAGCTGCCCTCAAGGCTTGAGTAAAGTTAGCTAAAGGCATAGTGTCAGCCACTTGTAATCAGATTTCTCAAGCTTCCGATGCCTGGCCTTAGAGTCATTTAGTGGGTGCTTTCTGATGTCATAGGTAAGTCACACCTGAGGATCAATTCTGCAGCACCGGGCCCTATGATTCAGTCTGCCCTGTTCAACCCTGCACTCTGTTTCCTGTGGATCCTTCTGCCTTCCAGGTGGTCCCTCATTCCTTTCTTTCAGGACCAACACTTTTATTCTTTTCTTTTTTTAAGATTTATTTATTTATTGAAAGGTGGAGTTGCAGAGGCAGAGAGAGAGAGAGGTCTTCCATCCATTCGATGGTTCATTACCCAAATGTCTGCAACAGCCGGAGCTGAGCCAATCCAAAGCCAGGAGCCCGGAGCTTCTTCCAGTTCTCCCACATGGGTGCAGGGGCCCAAGCTCTTGAGCCATCTTCCCCTGCTTTCCCAGGCCACAGCAGAGAGCTGGACTGGAAGTGGAGCAGCTAAGACTGTTCTATATAGGATGCTGGCACTGCAGGTGGTGGCTTTCCCCACTGTAACATAGAACCGGCCCTCACTTTTATTCTTTCGTGCTAATTGATCGAATGAAACTGTGTTAATAGATTTACAATGAGCACAATTGGCAGCCAGAATTGGAGGAATGACTAATGTGGATTTATATCATTAGGATATTCCAAATGCATCCGATATATATATATATATATATATATATGTGTGTGTGTGTGTGTGTGTGTATATATACTTAATAGGTATATGTTAACATCCTGATAGCCTGAAAATAACTCACTCAGCTCCTGTTCCCAGCAAATAATGAGTACAACACTTATCCTGTCAAACCTCGCCTTGTTACTTAAGCCTACCCTTATAGTAGAGATGTGGTTGACTGCAGAAGCAGAGTTGGGGGGGGGGCAAGAAGCCTGGAAGGAGGGGTAGGAATTGATACATGGTCTCCAGTAGAAGAGCCACTTATAAACAGAAGTCACATGTTCAGTGAATTGCCCGGTGTTCCAAAAGATTGTGTTAGTTCAAGAGTTTTCTCAATCTCTAAAAATTTACTTTTTATCGTGATGCCTAATTTATAAGGGTGATATTACTAATGTAACACTAATGATTGCATGTTCATTGCTTAAAAGGTGTTGGTTTCTTTTCTTCTTTCAGTTTGGAAACTAGAGGGTTTGCATGGATGTTTTGTAGCTTTCCAGAATCTAGACATTGTACTTGATTTGATAACTTATATTTAGAAATGTCAGGAAACTTGATTGAAACGCTATCTGTTTTCAAACAGTGTGGAGGATGCTGGGCCTTCAGCGTGGTGGGTGCCGTGGAATCCACGTGGGCGATAAAGGGACATCCTTTGGAAGATCTGAGTGTCCAGCAGGTCATTGATTGTTCATATAACAATTATGGCTGCAGTGGAGGCTCCACTCTCAGTGCTTTGAAGTGGTTGAACAAGGTGATTCATCTGTGTGTGTGTGTGTGTGTGTGCAATTTCTTCACTTCTTTATTATTTTAATTTATTGACAGTGATTGTACATATTTATAGGGTAAAATGTAACATTTTGATGCATGCATACATTTTAATGATCATATTAGGATAATAAGCATCCATTGCTTTATATATTCAAGGTTTCTTTGTAGTGTGAACATTCAGAAGTCTTTCTTCTAGCTATTTAGAAAAGTACAGGATGTTATTGTTAACTATTATTACCCTATTATGCAAAAGAATACTAACAGAATTGTTTTTCCAATAAGGGAAAAAATAATTTTAATTCAATAAAAGTAAACTTTTATGAGGTTTGACTTATCTATCTATGTCTATCTATAGATATTTTTGAGGGAGTTAACTTTGGAGAAGAACCCAAGAATGATGCATCTTTTGTAAGCACTTAAACATTAACTATAGCTTATGATACATAGATAATATCCTCTACTTAATACAATAAAACAAGGTAAATCTTTGTGATCAAGTTTTACTATTAAGTCTCATAATCCAACTCTTCGAAGACAGAGATCCAGCATGGGAAGTGAATGCACTCATGTATGATATCAGTGATCACCTGAGGCTCTTTACGTGAACCTCCTAGGCTATGAAAGCCTTTTGAGTCCACATACTCCATCAGTATTTAGATAAGGCCAAAAGCAAAGTGAAAGTTCTCTCTTCCCCTCAGAAAAAAGTACATCCTTCTCTGAGGACCACTTCTTTCTGTTGGGGTCTCACCCACAGAAGTCCTTCATGAAGGAAACTTTTTGCCATGATGTTTTGGCTTTCCATGCCTAAAGTGCTGTCATGTCAGCCAGACCAGAATGCCTTAAGGACTGATTCTGAGGGCATAGTGTTATTTGAAGTGATTATCTAACACCCTGATAGATGTGAGTATCTGTGAGTCTGCTGTATGAAACTGCTTCCCATGTTGGAGTATTCACTCTTTTTTGATTCTATTATTATTATTATCAAAATTTAGTCTAATGGATATGATCACTTTAACACCTAATCCTATCTATATGATCACTTTATAATTTAATTCTGTCTCCATGCTCACTCTAACATTCAAGATGCCGTATTTTCCCACCCACATTATGGGGGCTTGGGGTCCCACAGTAAGTTTTTAAACTCTGTCCTTCAAAGTAGGTCCATATGAATGTATGAAGAACTATACAGTTTTGCAGTTGCAAACATCATAGGTATCACAGTTACATCTTTAGGAACATGGTGATCCTTCCCACCCCCTTCTACTTCCCTCTCTTATTTCCACTCCTGTTGTTTACTAAGATCTATTTTAAGTTAACTTTATACACATATGATTATCTCTATTTTGGATAAAAGTTCAATAGATAGTATGAGAAAGAAGAAAAAAGAGAAAGAAGAAAAAAAGAAAAAAGAGGCAAACTGTACCTCAGCAGTCAAGACACGAGCTGTTCAAAGTGATTGCTTCTTAAAGTGTCAGTTTCACCTCCACAGATTGCCTTTTAAATGCTCTATTAGTTATTGCAGGTCAGGGAGAACTTATAGTATTCATCCCTTTGGGACTGGCATTTCTTTCTTTTTTTTTAAATGTCTGGTAGTATTCAGCAGTGAAGCCATCCAGTCCTGGGCTTTTCTTTGTTGGGAAGTTCTTTGTTACTGATTCAATTTCCATCTTGTTTATGGGTCTGTTTAGGTTTTCTATGCCTTCATGCTCAATTTAGGTAGGTTATTTGTGGCCAGGAATCTATCCATTTCTTCTAGGTTTCCCAATTTGTAGGCATACAGCTCTTTGTAGCAATTTCTAATGATTCCTTTTATGTCTGTGGTATCTGTTGTTACACATTCTTTTTCACCTCTAACTTTTTTTTTTTTTTTTAATCTGGGTCATCTCTCTTGTTTTTTTGGTTAGTTGGACCAGTGGTGTGTCTATTTTGTTTATTTCTTTTTCAAAGAAACAGCTCTTCATTTTGCTGATCGTTTATATTTTTTTAGTTTCAATTTTGTTTCTTCTCTAATTTTCATTATTTCTTTTCTCCTATGAGGTTAGGTTTGGTTTTCTGTTATTTTTCTAGGTCTTTAAGGTGCATTTATAGCTCATTTATTTGGTGCCTTTGTAAATTTTTGCTGTAGGCACCAACTGCTATAAACTTTCCTCTTAACACTGCTTTTGCTATATCTCATAGGTTTTGATATGTTGTGTTGTCATCTTCATTTGTTTCCAGAAACTTTTTGATTTCTTCTTGGAGCCACTGTTCATTCAGGAGCATGTTGTTCAATCTCTTATGTGTTTGTATATGTTCTTGGAATTCCTAAGTTTTTGATTTGCAACTTCATTCCACTGTGGTCTGAGAAGGTGCATGGTATGATTTCGATTTTTTTTAATTTGTTGAGATTTGCTTTATGACCTAGCATGTGGTCCATCCTAGAGAAAGTTCCATGCCCTGCTGAGAAGAATGTGTATTCTGCAGCATTAGGGTAGAATGTTCTGTAGATATGCAGATATCAGTTAAATCCATTTGGTTTAAAGTGTGGATTAACTCTGTTGTTTCCTTGCTGGTTTTCTATCTGGTTGATCAGTCCCATCTCTTACACTTTCAAACTATTATTTCTTCATTTCCTTTTTAACCACGTGTTCAGAATCAAACAATTCACTCTCCTATGTTAAGTAATGTTTCCAAGGTCAGAAATTGATTTATCAGAGTTTTATTAATTAATTTGAAGGTTAAATATTAAATACTTCCATGCAAACCAGTCACCAAAAACCCAAAGGACAGGAGAAGGCATTTAGCTTAGCCCTTAAGATGTTGGTTAGTCACCTACGCCCCATATTATGTCGGTACACATCTTCAGTCACTCATTCCAGTTTCCTAATACAGATACTAGGAAGCTGAGCTGATGACTCAAGTAACTCAGTCCCTGCCACCAGTGTTGGGTACCTGGAATGAGTTCTCAGCTCCTGGCTTCAACCCAACCCACTCCTGTCCATTGTGGGCATATGGGGAGTGAACCAGCAGATCAGATTGGAGCTCTCTCTCTCATGTGTGTGTTCGTGTGTCTGTGTGTGTGTGTGTCTTTCTCTGCTTCTCAGATAAATATTTTTTTAAATAAGTCAAAAGGTGACAAAAATTCACTAAAATTGTTTCCAGAAAACATATTTATGTTTACCTAACATTCCTTAATAGGTAAATATTCTTTTTGCAGATACTTATCACATAATTCCCCAGAAAGATGAGAGCACATGATTAGTCATTACCATAAGAGCTCTCACTGTCGAGGCTAAAAAGGATATGAGAGATTAGCTAATGTAACTTGTGGGGAGAAACTGAGACTAGACTAAGTTACTGGAATTAAGACTTATTCTATGCCTCTGCTCTCCCACAATGTGGTGCTGAGAGAAAAGAGACCAAACAACCTCTACGCAGCTGCCTCATCAGTTTGACAAGCTGCAGGAGCTGATCCTGCTCCTGATTGGAGGAGAGCAGCGTACTCGGTGTGTGGGCAGCAGAGTTGGGATTGGTGGAAGAGGACTATAAAGGAGGAGAGAGACAACATGCACCGGGAACATCCGGATAACACCTGAGCAGCCCCCGAGAGAGCCGGCCGGCGGTGTGCCACTTCTCCGCGGAAGTGGGGAAAGTGGCAGGGGGTACCGCCCCTCCACGGAGGTGGAGGGGTCAGCAGCCAACCCAGGAAGGACCAGCAGCAAACCCGGGGAGGGCCGAGCAGACAAAAGGACAGCGCAGGGTCCTGTGTCGTTCCTCCGCGAATGGGGGAGCGACAGTAACTCTTTTTTTTATTAAAGAATCATTTATTTATTTATTTGAAAGGCAGAGTTACAGAGAGGCAGATTGAGAGAGAGGGAGAGAGCGTGAGGTCTTCCATCTGTTGGTTCACTCCCCAGATGGCCACAGCCATCTGATTTCAGCCAGAGCTGAGTCAATCTGAAGCTGGGAGCCAGGAGCTTCCTCTAGGTCTCCCACGCGGTTGCTGGGGCCCAAGGACTTGAGCCATCCTCTACTGCTTTCCCAGGCCATAGCAGAGAGCTGGATCAGAAGTGGAGCAGTCAGGACTTGAACCAATATCCATATGGGATGCTGGCACTGCAGACAGCAGCTTTATGTGCTATGCCACAGAACCAGCCCAGTGTAACTCTTTTCATAGATGAGAAATAAGATCTGAGAGGTGAGATCATGGTGCCAGGTTATTAACTGAGCCCAAGATACACCTTAAGCCCCCTAGGCCTCTGCTCAGTATCCCAGTGTTCATCAGTGCTGTTAGCATCTCTGTGGCTTTGGCCCAGATCAAGCATCAACTACATGAAACCAACCAAATGACCCAAATGACGGTGCTGCTAGGATTTGTAGAAAGTCACCAGCCATAGTTCCCCAAACTAAGATGTCCTTCCGTTATTCAAAATCTCAGCAACTGCTCTTGCACATTGTGTTCAACAGGGAAATGTATGTCCCTCCATTCCGTGAGCCCACCATGCGGGAAGGGAGGCTGTGGGGGAGACACTGTAAGATATGTGACATGTGCTAGATGAAGGGCATAAAGAGAGGTGACAGAAAAACTTGCGACTGTCTCAGTACAAACCACTGAGTCTCGAGGGCTTGCAAACACCAGGCCAGGAGCCCTGGAACATTAGTGTGTTACCCTAGTGGACCTTAGGGGAAGGAGGACTAGCTGTTTTATCAGGCTGGGAGAAGTGGTAGGGAAGAGAGTTATGAGAAAAACAAGACCAAAAGAGAAAAAAAATTATATTGACTCAAAGTATTGAGAATGTTTTGGGGTGGATGTTGGGGTGCCCACATCTTATCAGAGCCTGGTTCAAATCCGAGCTACTCCAGTTCCATGCAGTTTCCTGCTAGCGTGCTTCCCGCAGGGCAGTAGGTGATGGCTCTGGTCCCTGAGTCCCTGCCATTCACATTTGAGCCCTAGATTGAGTTCTGGGTTCCTGGCTCTGGCCTGGCCCAGCCCCAGCTATCATAGGTTTTGGAAAATGATCCAGGGGATTTTCTCACTCTCTCTCTCTCCATCTCCCTCTCCCTCTCTCTCTCTTTCTCCCTCTCATTCCTTCACTGTCTCTCTGCCTTTCAAATAAATAAAAATGAATAAACTTTTTTTTTAAAAAAAGGCACATAAAGATGTGTGTGCCCATAATGAAGCTGTGGGAAAGTTGAAACCATTTTGGCACATTGAAATAATTTCTGTTTGATTTTGAAAATAACTGCCAGTGAGCATCTTGGGTGACTGTTTTCTCTTAGACGCAGGTGAGGCTGGTGAATGATTCGGAATATCCCTTCAAAGCACGCAGCGGCCTTTGCCATTACTTTCCTAGTTCACATTCCGGGCTTTCAATCAAAGGTTACTCTGCCTATGACTTCAGGTAAATGTTATTCTACTGTATTTTTTTTTTTCAAAAAGCCTGACTTTTATGATCTAGTGACTGATTATTTGGAACTAATAACTTGACTGAAGCATCATTGCATACTTTTCATTGTTGCAAAGCTTACTATAGTAGAGATTGTTTTTCACAATGCAGTGTTGTAGGTATTGTTTCTTAAATATGATGTTTCTATGTGTCATTACAATAGCAGTAATGAATTAATGTTAACAAATGTAAATCAAGCTTAAGGGATAATTTGTACTTACCACCTTCCTCTCATGAACTACAGGTATTATCCTAACATAAGCTTATTTCAGTCTTACTATTAAGTTAATCCAAAATTACGTTGTATAGATCCTTCAGCCAATAGCAAACAGGCTACAAAACAAAAGCCTTTATGAACACTCTCTACTTTCCTTGCATTTTTCAAGGCATCAGTTATAAGTAAAAAACAGAGACTCAAGCTTTCAGTTTTGAAACCATCTGAAAGAGCACACAACTAGAGACAGATCATATAGCACACACCCAAGTACAATGAAATGGAAGGGAAGGACTTGGTTGGGAGCTGATGGTCAGGAAAACTTTGGATAAGTTCAGGGGATAACAACCACTTTAAAAAATGCCTTAGAAACATATGGAGGATGCAAATCTTGATAGAGAATCATTATGATCATTTGATATAGTGCAAAATAAGTGTTTGGGCTGATAAGGACAAAGGAAATGCAGGAACTCCTGGTTTCATTGTTTTAAAAATATGATAGGACTTTTGAAACAGAGGAACTAAATTGAATTCACATAAGGTAACAGAATGCCCTGTGACTTACTGATACTGAATATAAGAGAATCTCTTGATCCAGATGGTGCTTGCTCATGGGATCTGAAGGAAATCAAGGGTAAAATTGGATCCTTGAACAAAATGGAACCCCTTTAAATAAGAATGAATGTGCCAGCAGACTAGCAGATTGTCAGCCCGACTCCCATCTGCAGTCAGGGCCCTAGGGATAGCCCTGGGAACCACAGCAGAGAGCCGTGATGCCACAGCTGGCAGGCTGCACAGGGGATATATAATAAAACGTCTGGGTCACTAAGTACAGTGGCAGTGTCTCCTCTGAGGGTGCAGGTAGGATGTTTCCTAAATGAGGAAATGAGCCTCTGCATCGCCTGTCACTCACTCGCAAGCCAAGGAAAGGGTGAGTGCTGAAGAAACCAGATTTGCTTTTCTATTTCAAATAAACTTACCTTTCAATTTCAGGTTTGCATGAGCTAGCTATTTTTTTTTTTTTGACAGGCAGAGTGGACAGTGAGAGAGAGAGACAGAGAGAAAGGTCTTCCTTTGCCATTGGTTCACCCTCCAATGGCTGCCACAGCCAGCGCACCGCGCTGATCGGATGGCAGGAGCCAGGTACTTCTCCTGGTTTCCCATGGGGTGCAGGGCCCATCCTCCACTGCACTCCCTGGCCACAGCAGAGAGCTGGCCTGCAAGAGGGGCAACCGGGACAAAATCTGGCGCTCCGACCGGGACTAGAACCCGGTGTGCTGGTGCCGCAAGGCGGAGAATTAGCCTAGTGAGCCGCGGCGCCGGCCCTAGCTTTTCTTGCTTGCTTGCTTTCTCTCATTCTTTGAAAAGCAAAGAAACAGAGAGAAAGAGACAGAAATCTTTCATCTGCTGGTTTCACTCTCCCAAAGGCCTCAACAATAGGACTGGGGCAGGCCAAAGCCAGGAAGTCCATCCAGTTCAAACACGTGGGTTGCATGGGTGGTAGAGATCCAAGTACTTGAGCATCACCTGTTGTTTCCACCAGTGCATTTTAGCTGGAAGCTGGATCAAAAGCAGAACTGGAACCTGAACCCGAGGATTCCAGTAGGAGGTGCAGAAATCTCCCGTGCCATTTTAACTGCTGCAACAGCCACTTGCCCCAGGAACTAGGTTTTCAAAATGTCATTCAAATGGATTTAGGGAACCCATTGTCGTAGGTAGCAAGTTGAAAACTTGTTAAAAAACAAAAGAATATGGGGCCAGCACCGTGGCTCACTAGGTTAATCCTCTGCCTGCGGCGCTGGCATCCCATATGGGCACAGGGTGCTAGTCCCAGTTGCTCCTCTTCTAGTCAATCTCTCTGCTGTGGCCCAGGAGGGCAGTGGAGGATGGCCCAAGTCCTTGGGCCCTGCACCTGCATGGGAGACCGGGAGGAAGTACCTGGCTCCTGGCTTTGGATTGGCGCAGCGCCAGCCGTGGCGGCCATTTGGGGGATGAACCAATGGAAGGAAGACCTTTCTGTCTCTCTCTCACTGTCTAACCCTGTCAAATAAAAAAATAAAGAAAAAATAAGAAACAAAAGAATAATAGGTTTGAGTCAGAATTAGGGAATAAGAGGATAGAGAATGCAAGACTTACTGGTTTTAGGTGTTTGATTAAGGAGGAAGAGGTCCCAATGAAAATCTTTGTGATTACATTAAATACTAAACTCCCTGACAGTCCAGCACTAAGCTGATTGTGTTAGACAACAAGATCTTTTATTTATTTGTTCAAACATTTATTTAATACTATTTTAGATTTGGGGGATTTGGCAGTGAATAAAACAGCTAAGAATTCTGCCCTCATGGACTATATTTTAGTGCTGAACACAAGAAATAAGCAAAACATAAAAAGCTGCCTGGTATGTTAGGTATAATAATATCTAAAGAGAACAAGATAAAACAGTGGGTGAATGAGGGGATATCTGGAAGGCAAGGGAGTATAAAATTTTTCATTTTTATTTATCTTATTCAAAATACAGAGTGACAGAGGTGGAGGAGAAAGAGAGAGAGAGAGAGAAGGAGGGAGAGAGAAAGAGAGAGAGAGAGAGAGAGAGAATCTTCCGTTTGCTAGTTCACTCTGCAAACAGCTGCAATAGCCAAGGCTGGGCCAGGCTGCGATCAGGAACTCCATCTGCATTTCCCACCTGAGTGGCAGTGGCCCAAGTAATTAAATCATCATTCCCTGCCTTCCCAGACCTATTATCAGGAAGCCGATAGGAAGCAGAGCAGGTAGGACTCAGACCAGCCCTCCCCTATGGGATGCTGGCATCACAAGTGACAGCTTAACCACCGCACCACAGTATGGTCCCCTGTACAACTTAGAAAGGGTTGTCGGAGGAAGCCTCTCTGAGAACAGGTGCATTTGAGTGAGGTTCTGGAGAAGTGTGGGGTCTTAGCCCCGTTGATATTCGGGAGAATACTGTTCCAAGCAGAGAGAACCATTTATTATTAAAATAACAAAAACCATAAATGCCTGCTTACAGATCTCTAAAAAAATAGATCTTCATGTTAACAGGTAATGTGAATGAACATATAGTTTCTATTTCAATAAATCCCATTATTGTTGATTCAACATTTTCTTCACCTGTTGTCAAAATATCACCTTACTTGACACTGCCCTCCAGCTGAACGAATTTACATTTCAACAACACCAATCCACCCATGAGTTGCTGCAGGAATAAACTACCAAGTATTATCTTAATAGCTTAAACGTTGGGTGACTTGACATCTGTGTACTTCACCCACAGAGCTGACCTTTGAAAAATGTAAATAATGGTTTGGTCACATACTTTTAAAACCAATGAAGGCCAGATGTTCCATAACATAGGACTCTATTGGTAGATGTCCATGTGTGGAAACCATGATTGTGTCTTGTGTAGTTTTCAAAATCTAGCATCACCTGTCCGTGGCATCCTAACAGTTACTCCTTTTTAAGTTCTTTTTCATGTTTCTTCTGTCATGACTATATTAGCCACTTTTGGATAACTCTTCCCCGTACATTTTTTAAATAATTAATTTTCCATAAAATTCTGGTTACACATACAATTCTGATTATAATGATATTTCCTTCCCTATACTGTCTCCATTTGACATTCATTCCCATAAGCTGGTCAGTCCCTTGATTATTGTAGGGCGTGGCAAAGTTGACAATATATTTTCAAATATCCACTTCTTCCTTATTAAAGAATCCCTTTGTTTTAACCGGGTACTGGACTAGCCTGCTGGAAAGCTCCATTCCACATCTCCCATTCATCTAGACTTCAGTAAAAGCCAGAGTGCTGTGCAACACAATGCACCCTGAAGAAGTGTGGTGCGTAATTTCCGGCACATCTTTTCAACTGAGACGTCGCGGTTCTCCTCCTTTTCATTTTCTGCAGTCTGAAATGGGTGTTAAATGGCTGGAGTGCCAGCAGCCATCGTGGACCACTAAAGAACCTTGAGGATGAAAGCTTTACATGGCAGAAGAATAATGTAGGAAGAGTCTGGTTTTTTAACATCCTGGAGCCTCCTACAGGTCCTGAACTACCAATTCTCCATGCGTCTTTCAGCCTTCATCATTTTAGTCCTTTTTTCATTGTTAACAAACATATCCCAACCTGTGATTAAATGCATTTTTATCTTTCTCCTAAAAACTGAAATTCTGTAATCAAGTGTTTCTTCTTTTGGTAGTGACCAAGAAGATGAAATGGCCAAGTCACTTCTTATCTATGGCCCTCTGGTAGTCATAGTCGACGCGGTGAGCTGGCAGGATTACCTGGGAGGCGTAATACAGCATCACTGCTCAAGTGGCGAAGCCAATCATGCAGTTCTCATAACTGGCTTTGATAAAACAGGTAACGCAGACCCGCTCGCTGGCTTTCCAGGTGGAACTCTGCCAAAGGATCGCCATCCTGTAGAATGCTGAAATTGAGCTCTGCTGTGTCAGGAGTCCTCCTCAGACCTCTGCAGAATCTCAGACCCCTTCCAAGTGAAGTTAGCCCATCAGGTCCCTGAATTGTTTCCTAAATAGCTGGCTAAGATGGTAATTGTTCATTTAAATAATGTGCCTTCTCTCAAATATTTAGGACTAATTGTTTGGAAAAGAGATGTACTTATTATGTTGTGGTACTTACTGAAGTTTCCTCTTTATTTTCCCAATTCTGCAAAAATGTGTTTGTTTTCCTTTTACTCAGTCCCACAAGAGTGATGAATTCAAATGCATATCAAACACTTATTTCCACTGATTGGATTACTATGCTAAATACAGTTCCAGTTAGCTAGTTTAAGTTAGCATCCCATTAGAGTTATATTCTTGTTCTCAGAGCAACCCAAATTTAAGTAAATAAGAACCCAAATTTAAGTAAATAAGCTTATGCATTCTTAATAAAAACGAGCTTTTCAGGGTTTGCTGCCATTTTATGTTTTGCAGGGAGTATACCATATTGGATTGTCCGGAACTCATGGGGAAGTTCATGGGGAGTGGACGGCTATGCCCATGTTAAAATGGGGAGTAACGTTTGTGGTGAGTGATGAATTTGCATTTAAAGCTGTAGGCTAAATACCAAGGAAGATTCTTTGGATATAGTAACTACAAACCTGATTAGTTTGTAATATTCTCCCAAAGTACTAAAATCACTTTCGCACTAATAATTATTGTTCTTCAAGTTTAATTGACTAAAATAAGAGGATCTGGGAGTGTTATGATAAAGCCTGTGGAGCTACCTCCTGGGACACCAGCACCACATATCAGAATTCAGGTGCAAGTCCCAACTCAAGTCCTGTTACCTCTGCTTCTAATCCAGCTTCCTGCTAACGCACCCTGGGAGGCAGCAGATGATAGCACATGTGTTAGGGCCCCTGTCACCCACGTGGGAGATCCAGACGGAGTTCCAAGCTCCTGGCTTTGGCCAGTCCAGTCCTGATTGCTAAGAGCATTTAGGTAATAAACCAGCAAACAGAAGATACTCCCTTTCTCTGTCATGCTGCCTTTCAAATAGATGAAAATAAATAAATGTTTTTAAAAGGACTAAAATAAGAGTGTTTTAAAAAGAGGCACTATGGCAAATATTCTTATTTTGAATATGAAGAGGGGCTATATACAAAATATAAAAAAGTGGTCTTCACAAAGGAAAATGCATATTAGGAAAAAATGCATAGATTTCAAATTTTTTGCACCAAAATTAACATATTTTAATTATATTTCCATGATTTTTTTAGATTTATTTTATTTATTTGAAAGACAGGGTTACAGAGGTAAAGACAGAGAGAGAGGTCTTCCATCCTCTGGTTCACTCCCCAGATGGCCACAAAGGTGGGAGCTGCACCATCTGAAGCCAGGAGCCAGGAATTTCTCCCACGTGGGTGCAGGGGGCAAGCACTTGGGCCATCTTCTGCTTTCCCAGACCATAGCAGAGAGCTCGATCGGAAGAGGAGCAGCCAGCACTAGAACCGGAGCCCATATGGGATGCCAGCGCTTCAGACCAGGGCTTTAACCTGCTGCCCACAGAACCAGCCCTCCATGAACTTTTTGAAGTACCTGCATGTGTTATGTACATATGTCAAAATGCAAGATAAAATAATTTACCAAAGTTAACCACTTCAAAAACCAGATAGAAGCACTCAACTTAGGAGGCTTGAATTTATCCAGAAATGTCTCTTTGTTCCAAATTTATTTTTGGTAACAGTATGAATTTCTTTCATTTTCTGTATTAGAATACCTGCCTGGGATGATTATGAAGAATCAGTTTTTCTTTGCATGAAAATATATGATAATCTGATTGTTAGAACTGTTTCTGACTTAATATGCTGCTTACCTCCTACAAAATTCTGGGGAAGCAGCCCCTAGAATTGAGAGAATTAGGCAGATATCAAATGTGCTTTCCATTGAATAGCAGACTGGTTTTGCTTTTGTGATTGACTAAACATCAACTAAACTAAGATAGCTAGTTAAGTATTTCAAATTATATTTTTTTTAAAAAGTTTATTTATTCATTTTATTTATTTGGGTGACAAAATTGCCTTCAGACTCCAAGGGTGTCTAGAGATGATTTCTTTGCTCCATGGGACTGCTTGGTTATGGATTATACAGGGATCCAAATCGTTCTCAAAGACATTTTCTAAAGATTGTGTACCTGGTGATAGTCATATTATTCTTATGAGGAATGACATAATACAGATGGTATTCATAACCCCAAGGGATTTCACATGTTCTGTCAATTATGGTGAAATCCTGCCTTCCAACAGGCCATGTATTGTCTCCTCAATGATGTTGAGATGCATATTCTTGTATATTAAGGAAGCATTGCACACTTGTGATTCAGTGAAATTCTGCTCCAGTTACAATCTTAAAATAATCCATACTATTTTACTGCCACTAGGAAATGTATATCAGTGCAATACAGATTTCAGACACATTCAGCAATTCAGTTAACAAGTATTTTTGTTTGTTTTTCACATTAAGCAAAAATATTAGAAATATAATATCTGCTCTTTGTGATATTTACACTGACAAACAGTGATCACCTTTAACTTATTTTCTCTTGGTAGGCACTGTTTCTGACTCCAAATGAAAATTAATTTTAATTTGCTATTTAAAAGTCATTAACAGGATGTAGACTAATCCTAACAATTTCTCTTTTTTTCTTAGGTATTGCAGATTCTGTTTCCGCTGTATTTGTGTGACGTGTTGGGCAGATCAGGAGACAGCTACAAAAGTGAAGGGGTTCGGGATGCAATAAATGTAAGATGGTTCTTTAAGCATTAGTCAACTTCAGATTTCAGCAACCCTCCACGAAAGGTCCTGGGGCCCAGTGGTATTTAAATTCATTTGTAGAATATCTCTTTCTTAGAAAGAATAGGACAACCAGAGTCTGTAGGAAGAACCCTAGAACCATGGCCCTCAAAGAAACCTGTGGAATGGCTTCCTGCTCTGCACGGAGGGTCAGATTAGGAGATCTGAAGGGACACCGAAGTGTTCATGGTAAAGGAGAATTAAAAGTGTTTTTTGGTGTGAAAACTTTTTGGAAATCCATGCATATGGTGGGGGGGGGTCTTCATGGAAGATGCAAAAACTATGCTTAGAGCTCAAAATTTTTGTGTCAATATAAACATCTTTTAATTCTATTTTTCTACACACCTTCTGAAGTACCTTGTATTTTAGGGCAGTCTAATTTGAAAAGACTATTTGTTTGCCTTTTTTCCTTGTGTTTGTTTTCAATGAGATATAACAGGATTGTGGGGCAAAACCGCTTGCTGTACATTACCCTTGCCTACAAAATCGGCCAACCTAAAATGATGAGTGCCTCCCACAATGATGGAAACAGCCTTCTGGATAGAGTGCCGAAGGATTTCCCCTAGCAGTTGCTTTACCTCAACACACGGTGCTGCCCCCTGAACAGTAGAGTGACCGGATGGAAGAACACGAAGCCACTAAGTCCCTTCTGGAGAAAAAGTTAAAAACTGATGGAAACGCGCTGACCAGTGTGACACCTGTGTGAGAGAACCCTCAGCTAGTCTCGCCCAAGAGACCAATTGCTGTTCTGGAATTTTCACTGGGAATGCAGTGGATTTCATTTCTTACGTCAGTCTCCCCCTATTTGAGAACACAGGATTTTGCCACCTGTTCTCACTCTCTGTGTAGCCCTGTACTGCAGGCACACCCCGGTTGTCTTGTGTCCTGCCTTCCCTACGAAAGAATCCCCTCCGTCTACACTCCGCATCTCTGTTTTCTGACCACCTGCTTGGCTCTCTTTCTCAACATGGAGATCTGACTTCTTCCTTGGGTGATCCTAGACACTGCGCCTCTCCACATCCGATCTTCTGAGCTGGGCTGTCCGCTAGAATGAGAGGCTCCCGGACTCTGATTTCCAGTGTCCGGCTTCGTTTTCCTGGCCTCTCAATCCCACTTAGTTCTTCGGCTGGCTCCCAGTCCCTGACACCTGTGATCTCTCCTGTGAAGTTCACTGCACAAGGATATCAGGCGCTGTGCCACCATTGCAATTCTGAGTAACTTGCATCCTCCGCAGTGAGCAACGTGCTGTGTGCACAGAAGAGACACTGTTACTGTTCATGTCTGTGAGTGGAAAGTGAGTCACTTCCTGGACAGCAGTGAGAGGGGAAGAGATAATCTGGTTGGATACAGTAGAACCATATTAAATTAATTAATATAAGAAAATCAGGGGCCCGTGCTTTGGCACAGCAGGTTAACGCCCTGGCCTGCACTGCTGACATCCCATATGGGCGCTGGTTCTAGTCCTGGCTGCTCCTCTTCCGATCCAGCTCTCTGCTGTGGCCTGGGAAAGCAGTAGAAGATGGCCCAAGTTCTTGGGCCCCTGCACCCACGTGGGAGACCCGGAAGAAGCTCCTGGCTTCAGGCTTCCGATTGGCGCAACTCCGGTCATTGTGGCCATTTGGGGAGTGAACCAGCAGATGGAAGACCTTGCTCTCTGTCTCTACGTCTTTTTGTAACTCTGTCTTTCAAATAAATAAAATAAATTTTAAAAAAAGAAAATCATATCAAATGCTAAATATACTCAAGAACTATGTATATATTTCTTTTCTAAAACTCATGGTCATCTTCTTCAATGCAGCAGCAACCAGGAAAAAAAAGAGTCAAGGACAGCCCATTTTCCCTCTCACTTTATTTATCGATATCTTGTAGTAGATAAACAACAAAAACAGCATGCTATGTATTTTTATACCAGCCACAAGGAATTTGGAAAGAATATTTGTTGACTCAAGTTTAGGCATGTTCCAGAAAGACAATATTAACATTTTAATTGATAAATATTCTCATTATCCAAGAATGCCAGAAAAGAATTATATCCTGGTTCTTCTAGATTGTGTTCAATTACTTTCTGAATGATGTAAATGCTTTTTCTAATACTCTTTTTTTAAATACTAAAGGATTTTTTAATTTCAAAATTAATCATACTTTTAAGTGTTCCGGAATTTGATATTTATAGTAAAACAACCTACCTTTAATTAAAAAACAAAGACTCTGTTCTCAAGTGTGTGTCTTACATTTTGTCAGCACTGTGTTAATATGCTTTATAGTCACACAGAATTTTCCCAGCTCAAGTCCAAGATCCAATTTTAGTTTTTTTCCATGGACATTTTAATCTCAGTTCACCAAATGTCTTCTAAACTCCATTTATCATCTTCCCTCACTCCTCACCCCTCACATCCCAGCAAAGGCCCTTTTCCTCCTAGAATCTGTATTTTGATTTGTAATACATCAGCATCATGTAAAATCTGATCAATGAAATTAGAAGAATTCCCAAGTCCTTTAATTAAGTTAACTGCATCCTGTTAACTTATCACTTAATCACCTCCTTCCTCTCCATGTCCACTGTCCTTTCTTACATATGTGTTCTTTAGTATCTCTTATATCCAGGACTCAATAATCTATTGTCATTCTCTAAAGCTAATGAATTTACTCAGCAATGAATTTGTTGCATTGGGAATGCATATGGTCATATCCAAGGATGCAAAGGCAGATGAGGGTTTTTAAAAGTAAAATTTAAAGGGTTACATAAGCTTTTGAAACAGCTATACTTGGCAACAAGGGTCAGTCACAAGGATGGTATCAGCACAAGTCTGAACAGGCAGTTGCTGGGCAGGTATCCTTGCAAAAGTATTTCTTGTGGGCAGATTATGGTGGCCCTTGTATATGGATATGGTTCTGGAGGTCTTTTCTGATAATTCTCATTATCAATCATAAGTGCATGAGAGCCCTGCCTTCATAATCTCCTACCTGTATTTATTTATGTGTGAAATAGACCCAGAGAGAATTTTTATTATTGTTAGGGTTTGACACAGTGACTGTACTGATTCCAACACTACTTGATAAATTTCATGTCCCTTCATTTAGGGGTTTGATTCCTGGCTGTGCTTCTGATAATGCACACTTTGAGAGGCAGCTAATAATGGTTCATATAGTTGGTTCTCTGCCACCCATTGGGAGACCCAGATTGGATTTCAGCTTTTAGCTCAGCCTTGGCTGTTGTGAGTATCTGGGGAGTGAACCAAACCTGTGGATGGGAGATTCATTCTCTCTCTCTTTCTCTTTCAAATAATTTTTAAAATGTTTTAAGTGAGTACTACATTGGTTGTAACCCATTTAGACTTTCCAACATAGAGTGGATCATCAGCAAAAGAAGCAAGTGTGAATGGGGCAAAGGTAGGAACTGTAGGAACTGACATTATAATTTTGATACTTGCATAAGAATTATTGAAATAACTCTTCAAAAAAACTCTTGCAACTGCATAACTTATTCATACCAAATACACCCGTACTAACGTAAAGAACTAAGTAAAATCATATAGTCTATTGAAGGAATGATAAACTTTTACAAACAACATTTATTTCAACATACCAAGGTATTTAGTGACAGAATGTCTATAACATGTTTCCTCATTACTTTATGAGAAAAGACAACGATTGCAAAATAAGTAATTTTATTCTCATTGAGACAGGAAGCTGTGGCTTATGTTTGTTTCTGTACCAGCGCCAACAGTTAATAGATGGCAGTCAGCATTTTCCCCCAAGTTGGTTGATTGCAAAGTTAGTGCCTTTATCCACCATTTTATTTGCCTTGTTATTGTTTCTGCTTCACCACCATTGGGTACAAGGTAGACATGCACAAGCACATGCACAAACATGCAATTGTCATGTATGCAAAGGCAGTCACAGATGACTAAGATACAAACTAGACAGTGTGAGATCCTTATAAGAAAACAACTTGTGACTGATACCAAAGAGTACTTCAGTTCCATTAAGAAGCTCTGGTGGCTGGAGATAATCACTAGATCAAAGTTGATATATTTAAGATCCTGTGATAGTACTACAAACTCCCCCTCATAACAGAAAGTGAGCTAAAGGTTCTAATATCTGGGCCAACCTGGAAAAGGACGCCTGGAATTCAGGGCTGATATCAACTCTTAATATTTTTATTAGAAAATCAATATTTGGTCTCCTTTTTTTCTTTTCTGGGAAAAAGACATTCTTCTTTAAGGGTTCTTCTGCTTGTTCCTATCTCAATTCTGCCGTACATTAGAGACCGTTCTACTTCCCAGACCACAGGGTAGGGGAAGAGCACATTCACACTTCTGTGTATCCACAGGCACTAGAAGCTGGGACACAGCATGGGAAAGGGAACTGGTCTACCACAGGAAAGAATAAAGTCAAAATCTACAGAAGACATGGTATATAAGATCCTAAGTGTTCCAGGAAATCATATTCCAGAACTGGATCCAGTCTATGTACATCAAAGCTGCCCAAGGAGGAAGGAAGCAAGAGAATATCATTATATTCTTAGAAATGTATCTACAAGGTCAGCGCCGCGGCTCACTAGGCTAATCCTCCGCCTTGTGGCGCCGGCACACCGGGTTCTAGTCCCGGTTGGGGCGCTGGATTCTGTCCTGATTGCCCCTCTTCCAGTCCAGCTCTCTGCTGTGGCCCGTGAAAACAGTGGAGGATGGCCCAAGTCCTTGGGCCCTGCACCTGCATGGGAGACCAGGAGAAGCACCTGGCTCCTGGCTTCAGAGCAGCACAGCGTGCCAGCCGCAGCACGCCGGCCATGGTGGCCACTTGGGGCTGAACCAACGGAAAAAGGAAAACCTTTCTCTCTGTCTCTGTCTCTCTCTCTCTCTCACTGTCTAACTCTGCCTGTCCAAAAAAAAAAAAAAAAAAAAAAAAAAAAAAATCTACAAACTATACTGAATCTGTTAAAAACTGATTAAAATTTTTTTAAAAAAGCTCTCTAGTCCCCTCTATTCTAACACTCCCCTGATTTGTGTGGGAGGGCAAGTGTTAGGCCTAGTAATGAGCTCACCCACTTGCCCCATCAGACAGTCTGACTTCAATGCCCAACTCCTGTTCCTGAATCCAGCTTCTAGCTAATGTAAACTCTTGGAGGCAGAAGCCATGGCTTGGATAACTGGGTTCCTGCCACCCACACAGTAGCCCTGGATGGTGTTGCCAGCTCCTGGCTCCAGCCCTGGCCATTGCATTTGGGGAGTGAATCAGTGGATGGGAGATACTTCTGTCTACCTATCTGTCTATATCACACCCTCTTGCCAAAAATAAATAAGTAAATTTTTAAAAATCAACAGAATTCTCTGAGCTAATACAGTCATCATCCATTCATTCATCTTTAAGCATAGATATCAATCTTTGGTCATGAAAAGCTCTAACAAATAGAAGCAATGTTTCAAAAACCATACACATCAAAAGACTAATGTTTATTTTGAAATTTTTGCTTGAATATATTTTGATACAGAATGACATTTTGTTACACACAATATCTGAAGTGGCTAGCTGACTTTACAAGCTTATAAAATATGAGCAATGAAGTGATGATCACCTTAAGAGGTTACATTAAGGTAAATATCTGGAAAGTTGAATTTTAATAGAAAAATATCCTATATACAAGGCTACAATTTAACTGAATTCAGCATCATGTTAATCTTTAGTCTTATATAAGGCATAATCACACAAGGTAATAAAATCAATTCCAAAATTGAGTCAGGACACTGATGCCAAACTTTGTTATAAATATAGTAAAATTATATACTCACAATAATTAACGTAAAATAAAATCATAGACTGAAAAATCAATCGTCCTTGTAGATTCTGCAGGTGAATTTAATCTGACTCATCACTGCTGAAGTAAGAGCTGTCACAGTATTCAGCCGTATAAAGGAATTTGTGAATGATTGGGTTCATCTTTGGTATCCAGTGCCGAGGAATCAGATATGTTGAAAGATTAAATAAATCTACAAATACCTTGTACCTGTCACTGGAAAAACACATATATATGGAAATGTGTTAATATCTTTAATATTTCCTATCCAAAAATTTTATTTCTCAGATGTTTTCCTTAAATAATTAGTATTTTATATTACATGTTATGTATCTAAGTATACATATCAGATAAATGTTGCATGAGGATTTAATAGTATTAGTATTATGATTGGTTCTTATTTTATATCAAAAGGTCATGCCCATGAAGCAGTATCATGTGTTTGATTGATCTAGTAAAGGGCAGCCCATGTTAAAAACACAGAGTCTTATTGCTATAGTATCTTCATAAAGACAGAGATGTGTTATCATTGCCTACTTTTTAAGGATGGTGAGCAAAGTAACAAACTCAGTGCATAAGGAGTTCTTAATTATTTATTGGAAAATATTTCCCAGCTGCAAAGTAGTGGCTAAGTAACAGCCATGAAGTAATTAATCAATTGAAATGCCACCTTACATTCATAGCCAATGTCTGTTAAGAGTGGCTTTAGCATTAAAATTGTGGTTTTGCCTGTTAGTTAACTATGGTATGAAGAAGAACATTGACAGAGAGGACAGCTCCCCCTCCTACCTCACGGTGGAGCGCAGGTACTGATAGCCAGAGGAGCCTCCCGTGCCAGCCTTGCTGCCCAGCATCCTGTGCACCATGCACACGTGGTTATCTAGGCAAACACACACGTTTACTCCTCAAGGCTTTGCTGCCATTAGTTTCCATAATGTTCCAAAGGGGCTGGTAATGATTATTGCTTCTGAGAAAAGACTGACAACTTATCGCTTGGCGGTCCATGCGTGAGAGCCAGGGAGACTGTTAGGTTGCCTGGCACCCTGTGCGCTTGAGTCTGCATGCATTTTACTGCACCATTTAGCAGTGTGCTCAGCACCAGGGGAAAGAGCCGACTCAGGACTTCTATGAATTTTTGCCAATTTGTCTTTAGGAGCCCTTCCCTCCACTATCAAAAATAGTAGTAACTAATGAAATTATATTTTAAAACTGCATTGGCATAAAAATGAATACGTGACTATTATATATTCAAGCATTTTCTTTGAATATTTATTTTTTCCTTCTGATTATAAAACTAAAACATTTTCCTAGAGTTTATTGGGGTAAAGAAGCAGGATAGAAGGAGAAGGAACATGGGGTGGGGGAGGACTTACACCTCCATTTGGTCATGAGTGTGTCTATATCCATGAGAAAAGTCAGCAACTGGAAAGGGACCTGGAATCTAGGTTCTTCCCTAAAGGGAAGCAGGACAACAATAAGAAATCTGTTCAGGCAAATCCAGGGTGTTAGTAAGAACATCAGTTTATAATCAATTGACCCTGGCATCAAATGTCACCTTTGCCATTCAGGAGCTACGGCAGTTTTAAATGACTCTCTTAGTCTCTCTTCATCTCAACATGGAAATAATGCTACTCATCTTGCAGTGTTTGAAGTCTAGAAAATTCCATATAATAGACATGAACGAACAAGACAGAGTTATGCCTAAGGTAGGTTCTTATTAAAAGGAAGACATATACACCAACACAAGTCAATCACTTTGAGATAAAGGTATTAAAACACAAAGAGTACTTTTTATTTCCTCTAATATACAAGAGTACTTTGAAATATCCATGGAAAAATGAAATTTAAAGATAAGTTGTCTACTTGACTTTGGTACAAAAAATTTAGAAATCCATGAAAAATGTTTTCATAATAGGCATTTTTCCATGAATATTTTAACAATCCGTTGAATACATGCATTTCAAAACTTGTTTGCACCAAAATAAATTTATCCTCTAATTCCATTTTATGTAAACTTTCTGAAGTCTGCTAACATGTCTTCTTTTTTTATTAAATCCAACTTTCTGAGTACGTTTTATACAAGGATGCATACGCTCGAGTAACTTACACGCATTCTGAGTTTAGGAAAACAGTTCAAAAATTATGCTGATGTTGACATACGTTTTTTACTTAAAAGTCCAAAACTAAAAGTATAATTGCCTAACTTTTCTCCAAAAGTCCAATTACAGTGTTAAATGATGATTGCAATTTATAAACTTTATTCTTTATAAAATACCTATATCACATCCCCTCCTCAATTGTAACTCCCTCCTCTCTTCTGACTTGTTCTTACCTGTAAAAATGTATCATCAGTGCTCCCTGAAGTGCTCTGTATGACAACCGCCTTTCACCTGCAAGATACATAGCATATTTTAATGTCACATGTATTTAGGGGAGTCATACTAAAGTGGCATCAGAACTTTAAATAATTAACAGTTTATATTTTTAGAAAGCCATGCAAGTTTGGGTTGAAATTTTTTATCCTTTAATTTAAATTTAGAAACCTATCATCTAAGATATTATTTTAAGAATGAATTTTAAAAGGCAAACCAAAAAAAAACCTGTAAATTATCTCATGTTAAGAATAGCTGATTTTGAAAAAAAATTAAATTTCAATGATGAAATATATTTCCAAGGAAAATAGTATGATCATTTACTTTTCAAAAGGTTAAATGTGATCCATTCCAAACTTCATTTGAAAGTAGTCTTCCCTAATTCACTGAAAACCACTATATTAAAGTTTAAGGAAGATCATGATTACATAAAATAGTTTCTGTTCTCTAAGTCTTTGCTCCTAGCTTCAAGAAATCAAGATCTGCCATTCTTGACAGGTGTTTTCTAGAAAACTCAGGTTAAGAGCCTTTAAGTTCATAGTATTTAATACTAATTTCATGTACTGCTGTATCCTGCACTTGTATTATAAAAATTTATTTTTACTTGTAGTCTACCTATTTCCAAAAATATTGCATCACACTTTACAATAAAACTTCTAAATCACAATTAGTACAGCAGTTTCTCGCAGGTAAAAGACTCCAGTTCAGAGGTGACGGGAGTGATCCGCCTGCTCAGTTCCTCTGGAAACGATTATACGAAAGGTCTACATGTGTGTTTCCTGGTCTGCCTGAGAAGCATTTCCTCTGCAAAGCTGTCCTCAAAGCTCAGTAGCTATTTCCTCCTTCACTGACCTCCCCCACAGTATTTGCAACAGCTTGTCTTCATTCCTGTCCCTGTTGGCCTGTGAGCTACCTGAAAAGTCATCTGTAATTTATCTTGGTATCCCTCTGGTCTGCCATACTATGGGAGTTTCTGCTGTATCTTTTTGTTGTTGTTGTTGTTGTTGTTGTTGTTTGACAGGCAGAGTAGACAGTGAGAGAGAGACAGAGAGAAAGGTCTTCCTTTTGCATTTGCCGTTGGTTCACCCTCCAATGGCCGCCGCGGCCGGCGCACCCCGCTGATCCAATGGCAGGAGCCAGGTACTTATCCTGGTCTCCCATGGGGTGCAGGGCCCAAGCACTTGGGCCATCCTCCACTGCACTCCCGGGCCACAGCAGAGAGCTGGCCTGGAAGAGGGGCAACCGGGACAGAATCCGGCGCCCCGACTGGAACTAGAACCCAGGGTGCCGGCGCCGCTAGGCAGATGATTAGCCTAGTGAGCCGTGGCGCCGGCCTCTGCTATATCTTTAAAATCAACTGGACGTGGAAATCTGGTAAGACAGGATTATCAGGGATAACACGTACACCTTCTATCAGAAACATGAATATCAATTTTCATTCCGCTTCTTCTGAGTCAAGCTTGGTAGTCCTATGAAACTGTATTTTGTAAATACACACACACTCATACACTCCAGGGAAAGGATCTGGGAATAAAATATTTACCTTTACTAAGGAGATGCTCATGGCGTTTCTCATCGAATAAGGACAGTAACACCTCTTTTTGTTTCTGAAATTCAGCCATCTGGTCGTCTTTTTCCTCCGACTCTTCCATAGCCTTAGAAAAACACCACATTAGTATTCCCACAAGAGAGAACAGATTTCTCTATTGTAGAAAGCTTGGCTCCTGAGAAATACTCTCAGGTTGCAGACACATTGTCCTTGGAGTATGTTCTATATTGTCAAATATTTTACTTTGGAAAATATGTTCTGAGAAGTGTTTTCCACACATGTACTTAGACTTATCCTTTTGTTAACTTTAAATTATTAATTAATTCCAAATATTCTCTTCATAAATATCATAGGATGTGGTCCAAGGTGAATAAAATTGGAAATAACTATGAGTGATCAATGATGATCTAAGTTTAAATGGCGATTATTTTACCTATGAGCACAGTAATTCTACTTAGGAAAGTTAAGAGGTCCTAGTCAGAATAACTCCTAAATCCATTGAAAACAAAATTTAATATTGTATTCCATAAATAAAATATGTATTTATCACCTTATTTTTATTCATTTGATATCTACAGGTGAGTTTAAGGGAAATCTTACTTTTCTGCCTACAACCCATGCTCTACCTGGAACTCAGTTAAAACTGAGGTGAATTAAACCTGACCTTGCACAGGTTGTTGTCTGATGGGGATAAGACACTGCACAGGTGATCACCCAAGCTTTAAGTTGCAACCATGCCCAGGGCTATAGAGGAGCAATGTTAGTGTTATTATAACTTAGAGTAACAAGTAATAAGGAGATGGATAAGGAAAGACCTTCCTAAAGAAGTTTTCCTAGAGCCAGAAAAATGGGAACAAGCTCAGCATTGAAGGGACTGATTATACTGGTACTATTTCAGGGCATCAAACAGACCGTTGGCTATGACTCACACTTATTTTATTTCCAGTGTGCCCCACACTTCAGCCCATGGAGCTGGGACCCCTCCCCTCCACGTGCACCTGGGGTTTGTGCATGTTTCTTCCTGGGTGGAATCAGAGGGTGATTTCCCTTTTGTGTACATATGCTTAATAAATATTATTTTAAAAACAAGAAAAAAAGAACATTTGTTTCGCAAAGAAACTTAACACACACACACACACACACACACACATACACAAATCAGTAAATTGAAAGAACTAAACCCTGCTAATAAGAGACGTTCAGCATGGTTGGACCATGTGAATTCAGAAGGCCTTATAGGTCACATGAGGGATAGTCATTTTTATCCTGAGACAATGGCTTTGAGTAAAAGGGATAACGTGATGATATTTGCAGTTTAGAAAACTTACTCCAATGGCAGTGTGGGGAATTAACCAGAATGGAGCCAAACTGAGGAAGATGGAGGAACAGTTGAGAGCCTACTGCTTCAGTCCAAGTGGAAATTTATGGCACTTTGCACCTCAGTGCTGGTGGCGATTTAAAAGGAAATATTTCAGAGCCAGTCAGGATTGGGAAATTCCTCTCAAAGAACTGACTGAGGAAGAGAGCGGTACCAAGGATGACTGATAAGTGTCTGACTAAACTAGATGGTTTTGTCAGACTAGATGGTTTATAGGAGAAAAATGTATTTTAACTCAGAGAAGACCAGGTGGCACAAAAATAGATGGAAGGAGGAGCTTCCCAAGCTTGGTTTTGGTGGTGTTTTTTAGAGAATCAGGAAGATGCATTAAGTAGATTTTGACATACATGATCTGAGGGTTGGATGTTGACCTAGCTCAAGAAACCAGTGCGATGCCTGCATCCCATACTAGAGTGTCTGGGTTCGATACCTGCCTCTGACTGCTGACTCCAGCTTCCTGTTAATACAGATCCCAAAAGGCAAAAGTGATGGCTTAGGGCTCCTACCACCCACATGGGAGTCCTGGATTGAGTTCCCAGCTCATGCCTTCAGTCAGCCAAGCCCAGCATTTAGAACGTAAGCCAGAACAACAGAGCAGCACATTTTCCTTTCTTTCTCTCTCTCTCTCTCTCTTTCCCCTCATTTAAGTAAATAAATAAATTTTTAGATATATGTGATCTACAATCTAAAGCAATCTCTAAGCTAGAGATAAATTGCTGGAAATGACTGATAAATAAGTAGATATTGGAACAATAGATATAAATGAGGTTGTTTAATGAAAACTATGGAAATAGGAAAGGATCTAAGTCAGTCTACAAAGGATCTGAGACATTGCACAAATAATTGCATTTATTGATCTTGGAGAGAAATATGAGTAGTTAAAGGAGTTAGAGAAATAAGAACGAGAGCACTAGGTGCAGACACAATGTATGTAATGTACCAAATCCAGGGGGAAAGAACATTCAAGAAAGTGGTAGTTAATTTTGAATGCTGCTAGAAGGTCAGGTAAAATTAAGATTAAAGATAATGTTTGAATTTATGTACATGGAGGCTAGTGATTAATTTAATGCTGATCATACTCTTATTTTCTATTGTACCAATGATAAAAGTGAGGCAAGAGAGATTAAGTAAGATGTTTACTATCACACAGTTCCCAGTGGAGATGGAATTTTGAACCCATGCAATGCAACTTCAAAGTCCATGCTTTAACCTGACGCAGCCTCTCAAGATAAAGGATTTTAGCAACTCTTTCAAGAAATTTGGTCATGAGGGTCTTGCAACTCAAGTAAATGAGCAATCAGCAGTGTTTTTTAAGCAGGAGAAAACTGCCATGGTCTGAAAGCTGATAAATGGACCCAGGAAATACAGGAGTGAAAGGGAAGAACTCTAGCTACCTTTGATTACCTCGTCCTCTGTGTACCTAGTTCTATCTGGAACTGATCATAAAAGAGGCTTCCTATAGAAATGGAAACATTTTGTATCATCACATTTCTTTGTATCATAGCTGTTGATCACAAAAATCTTGCCTGCCATGAACATCTAAATTTTGTGTAATTTTAATTGCACACAGGCAAAACTCAATCAACCACAAAATGTATTCCAAGAAGGATTTTTATGAAATAAAAAGAACATAAGAAAATGAAAGGGTAAGAGAACAGCAAGAAATTACTACAATAAAATTCATAATACTCCTTCTTTAGTAACTTTTTATAAGCTCATGTCATTATAAATACCTGAATCTTTATGAATTCTTCTTCCAGGCCTTGAACAATATTTTTTTCAAGCTTTCCCCAGAAATTAAATCCATGTGGCTCTAGACCTGGTGTTCTTTCCAGCCATGCCTTAAATAAATATTATTTTTAAATGAATATGTGAAAATTTAAAACATATAATATATTGTCAAAAATACATACTAGAAATAATAAATCATCAGTTTTGAGAAGTATGCATCACCATTCTATTTGTATTTTTTCCTTCTCTTCAATGTCTTCATTTATGAAACAGCAACTGATATATTTCATTTTCTTGATCTTTGTAACAACCATCATTAAGGCTTGCTCTTTGTTTCTTAAGAAATACATGATTACAGAAATCTTAATTTGCTTCTAAAAATCACTTAACTTATTGAAACATTATTTTAATATTGCCTTCTGATTTGTTCTCAAAATACTTTATGTGTTAACAGCTGAAGGAATGTAAAAAATATGTTTTCTAAATTCAGAGGCATGATATACTTAGCAACTTTATAATTAAACAATGATGCAATTTGTTCTAAGATCACCCGAGACTTTGTAATCTAAAGGTAAAGCTAAGAAGAATATAATTCGCAGGGATAAAAGTTTAATATGAAAAGAAAAAGGCTTTCTGAAGATATCAAGATAATACAATTTTATCTAATAATTTGCTTAAGAATAATCATTAATACTTTTGCAAGAATGTGGGCCCCTAGGACATTAGCATATGAAAAGGAAACTTCTGAAGAGCATATTCTTAGTAATTTAGTTTAAGAAAAATACTCAAGTGAAATTTTTCAGTCACATTTACATTTTAAAGAAGCAAAGCTTATTGAATGGTTAATCATACTCATTCAAAATATAAACTAAATTAATATTGTTTAACAGGGACTCCTAGAAGAATAGAATTTTTAAAATGAGATTATCCAGTTATTTAATATTAATTTAAAATTTATTATGTAAAGATTTGTGAAGGTTTCAAGAGGGTTCATTATATTTTAACAAGTTGAATTTATAGATTTGAGCATTTTTAATTAAATTATTTCTGTATTCTTTTTTTTAAAAGATTTATTTATTTATTTGAGAGTTAGAGTTATAGACAGAGAGGGAGAGACTAAGAGAAAGGTCTTCCATCTTCTGGTTCACTCCCCAGATGGCCACAACAGCTGGAGCTGAGCAGCTCTGAAACCAGGAGCCAGGAGCTTCTTCCAGGTCTCCCACATGGGGTCAGGGGCCCAAGGACTTGGGCCATCTTCCACTGCTTTCCCAGGCCATAGCAGAGAGCTGGATCGGAAGAGGAGCAACCAGGACTAGAACTGGTGCCCATTTGGGAATCCAGTGCCTCAGGCAGAGGCTTAGCCTATTACACCACAGCGCCAGCCCCTCTTTCTGTATTTGTGATGAATATAAACCATCTCTGATATAAGTCTTAAATTCTGGAAGGATAGTATCATTATATTCTTAGAATTGTGTCTCTGAACTACATGGAATGTGTTCTATTTATATTAATATCATATTAACATTAGTGCTGAAGAAAATTGTGTTGTAATAATTATCATGCATTTGGTATGACTCTGAGAATCTAATGTATTAATAAATTTCTTTTAAAAATAAAAAATAAGTTTTTTAAAACAATAAAATAAAATGCTGGGGCCAGCGTTGTGGCCCAGTGTTAAGGTTAAGCCACTGCCTGCAGCTCTGGCATCCCATGTGAACACTCCAATCCATCTCCCTGCCAATGTGGCTGGGAAAGCAGTGGGGAATGGCTAAAGTGCCTGGGTCCCCGCACCCACCCATGTCAGAGATCAGGAGCTCCTGACTGCGGGCTTCCAGCTGGTCCAGCCTCAGCTGCTGAAGCCATTTGGGAGTGAACTAGTGGATGGAAAATTTCTCTCTCCCACTTGCTCTCCCTCCCTCTTCTCTTTAACTTCGTCTTTCAGATAAATAAATAACTCTGTAAGAGTAAGTTAATATCTAGCAGAAGCTAAATTGAGGTATTGCACCAGACTTCAGAGATGGCATGTAAGCATGCACCTCCACTAGTTGCAGAAGCGTCTTCTCCTGCTCAGATTGAAGCAGCAGTGCATTGTCTTCTCCTTTGAAGTTGTCACGATAATGTCTCCTGTTGTAAGGGACTCTCATGCTCTGGAAAACACCTATCTTGTTCTCGAGGAGTCGAAATTGCAAACTCTGGAAGCCTGATGCTGGAGACAAATACTCCCTTTGCAAATCAATGGAGGAAAGAAGAGAAGAGAAAGAAAGCGTTTCGATTTGATTATAAATCACTCTAATGGTTTCTTCTATCAGTTCTACCTTCCTAGACATCACCAAGAACAGACAGCTGCAACTGCCTAGAGCTGGACCCATGGTTTGCCCTTTATTAAAATGAGGAAAATGAGCTATTTAAACATTATCACTTCTAACCATCAATTTGAAGTCAGAAACTTTGTAGACTTGTAAAATGATTATATATTCTAATATATATGATATGTATTTTAATATAAAGAATAGTATATATATTGTAGCTTATATATCATAAAATGTCCATGAGTGTACATTGGACTACTAGCATATACATATGTGTATATATAGACATATGGTTAGATACATGTAATTGTGTGTGTACATTTGTGTGTACAAAATATTTTCCTTAAAGACATGTGGATACTGGGAAATCATTCATTCCACATTGCTCAAAGATTCTTTATAAATATTACTGAATGCTTCCTACAAGTTGCATTCTTGGATATTATTATAAATCTTGCTACCTGGTATTATTATGAATGCCAATGAGATAATGTAAGTAAATGAATGGAATATGCCTAGCACAAAACGGGCAATCCAAACATGTAGTTACTACCATCCCCAAAACCAGATGCACTTTTGGCAAACATTGTATTTTTGAAAACTTAATTATTTTATTCATCATTTTCCTAAATTGCCTAAAATTCTTTATTGAGAAAAATAGGGCATACACTGATTAATTGAAATTAATAATCATACAGTTTTGTAGGTAAAAATGGCTGGCAAAATGTCTTTATAACTTTTCAAATGCTTTTGATGGGAGACCCCCAAGCCCTCATAGTGACAGTGCAGTAGGGCAGGTCCTTCACATGACACAACCCACACATCCTCCTCTTCCACCATCAGAATTAAAAGGTTAGCCCTCTGCATTTAGAAAAATTGCCACAGGCACTCACCTGAAGTCATTGAAGTCCAAGGCAGTCATTGTTTCCAGAACAGAAAACTGCTGGACCAGGAGTTTCAAGATCACAGCCACTCGCTGCATCCTGGTGACAACTTTAAGCATATTCCTTTCATCTCTGACCTAGAGTTCAGAAACAGAACACTGAGTAACCCATTCCAACTTCTGCAAAATACACAATAAACTGTAAATGACAACGCATAGATAGCTATTCATCTTGTATCTCTTTCAAGGAGGAACTTTGGAGCTGAAAATTTCCACAAATATGTTGAACTAATAATAATTCTCAACGTGTGCAAGGAATGTCAGCAAAACCAGAATCACTTTTCTATCTTGAAAATAGAAAATTAAGTGGAGGGGCTGGCACTGTGGCCTAGTGGGCTAAGCCTCCGCTTGTGTTGCTAGGAGCACTAGTTCATGTACCGTCTGCTCCACTTCCAACCCAGCTCTCTGCTGTTAGCCTGGGAAAGCAGTGGAAGGTGGCCATGTGCTTGGACCCCTGCACCCACATGGGAGACCTGGAAGAAACTCCTGGCTCCTGGCTTCAAATCAGCACAGCTCTGGCCATTGTGGCCATTTGGGGAGTGAACGAGTGGATGGAATAACTCTGACTCTCTCACTCTCTCTCTCTCACCCTCTCTGCCTTTCAAATAAATAAATCTTTAAAAAATAAAATAAAATAAATCTTAAAAAGAGAAAGAAAATTAAGTGGAAGCAAGGTAAAAGTACTTTCTGGAAAAACAACTGCCTCTGATGTCAAAACAAGTTTTCTCGTTTTGTTTCACTATAAACAAATATACCTTGGTCAAGGCAACATGGGGACTTCTGAGGATTAAGCAACACCTGGATAGATCTTCTCTTTCCTGAGGACAAAGCCATCATGGACTTAAACAGGAAATGTGTTCAACCACGTAGGAAGTGCTCTGAATGAGAGCACTTCAGAAAGTTCATGGAAAGATGGAATTAGAAATTTATTTTGGTGCAAAATCATTTGAAACCCAGGCATAGATTTTTCATGATATCCATTTTCCAGGAGCTTTTTCAAGACTCCTTGCCCCATGCACTCTTTGCCAACTATTCTTGGAGCAGGAGCTCAGGGTTGGAGGACCACGCTGGGACCAAGAAGTCTCAGGAAGAAATGCAGTGGGAGATGGGGAAGCAGAAGCGTGATTGAGCTCCCAGCACCAGCTGAAGGGCCCTCTCCTGCCCCCTCATTCCTTGTCCTTATCTTATTCTTTCCCATTTCCCTTTTCCTCATCTTTTTCCTCTTTTACTTTCTCTCCTCTTGCCTTCCCTTCCCTTTTCACTTTCTTCACTATTATTCTTGTCTTACCACAGCTGATAAACATTGGGAAACACAATGCTAGAACCTCTTAGTTAAAGGCTCTCTATTGGTTAGCTTGGTGATCAACCATCATTTGTAACACCTTTGCTTTGAGGGGGTTTGGGGAGAATTGAATTCTAAACAAAAGGCTTGAAACCAAAATTTGGAAGGAAACTTAAAGCAATGTCCAATTCTGTAGTAGCAATGGCACTGGTAAAATATGGCTGAACTCTTTGTCCAGAAAGTGTTTGTTTATTTTTTTATCAAGTAGTAATTTTACTATTTTATGTTACATTTTCCTCATTAATATTTCTGTATATTCTAAGAAATACCCAAAACCAGTATTGCAACATAACAACTTACATGACCATTCTGAAAAATCTCTCGAACAGAATCTAATTCCCAGAGGATTTGCTTAAACCAGAGTTCGTATGCTGGAATAAAAAAATCACTGTCAGTTAGAAAGATATGGGAGCCTCATTGATCACAATTATATATGGCAAACATTATTGAAAGAGAAATGAAAAGATAAATTTTAAATCATTAAATATAAACATAGTCCCATTTAAGCTAGAAATCAATATTAGTGTTAGAAAATTATAATACCCAAACTTTATCAAATGTTTCCATATGTGCAGCACAATGGTTATATGGTTTCTATTCCTTATTATTAGCAAACCTACTGTTAGGTCTTTTAGAAGTAGCTCATAATCCAGTTCTAACTTCTTGTTAGGAAGCCAGAGATATGTGGGGAAGTGGAAATGGTATTCAACTTTAATAATGACTCAAAAATTAATATTTACTGAACTATTTGAAAGATGCTGGGGTTTTAAAATCTTAAAAACATAAAGCCACATTTCTTAACATGTGCTGGTTTTTATTTTTGTTTCTTTTCTTAGTGTTGTTTTTTTTTTTATTCCATGAAGAACTTAGCAACTCATAGGCTTGGGATACACAGCAATGTGGCCACATGTTTGTGGCAGAATAATAAAGGCAAAGTTCACCTTATCCTCACAGCTAAGTCCCGGGGGCAGCTTTCTTGGCACTGAGTCAGCATCACCAGTATATCTCCTTTTAGGATAACCATCTGAGTCCTCAGCTATTTGTTGAATCATAAATTCAGCCAAAATAATTTTACTCAAAGATTGTTATCCTATTAGCTTGTCTTTTCCATAAGGGTTAGTTTCTAAGCCCTTAGTCTCTAGACTTTGTCACATTCAACTATTTTTCCTCAATATTTAACCAAGTGTTAAAATAAACACTGGAGGGGCCGCAGTGCCAGCATCCCATAGGTGCCAGTTCTAGTCCCAGCTGCTCCTCTTTTGATTCAGCTCTCTGCTATGGCCTGGGAAAGCAGTAGAAGATGGCCCAAGCAGGTGGGCCCCTGCACCCACATGGGAGACCCAGAACAAGCTCCTGGTTCCTGGCGTCAGATCGGCTCAGCTCCAGCCATTGCAGCCATCTGGGGAGCAACCAGTGGATAGAAGACCTCTCTCTGTCTCCTCCTCTCGCTGTGACTCTACCTCTCAAATAAATAAAAATAAAAACTTTTAAAAAATAAATGAAAAAAATACTGGATGGTTGGTTTATGAATAAATGAATGTAGCCAGTGTAACAATTGAATAAAATGACAAACAACTGAAAATCTCTAGTGCATCCTTTTTGGTTGTATTGTATGGACAGAAGTTATATTTCTGACATATTTAATGGAATCTAATTATAATTTTTAATTTTGTTTTAGGAGTTTTTTAGACAGACAGAAAACCAGATCTGTGTTGATCAGTTTGTGTCTCTCTCTTGTCAGATTTAAGCTCGTGGGCTAGTCCCATGACTCACCGCTTATATGATGACTGAAGAATGAAAGGAAAGGGAGCCTATCAAATTATGACAGCTGCTGCTTGTTGCATGCTTATTAAGTGCTATCCCTTGGGCTCAGTACTTAATGCACTTTGTCTCCTATGCTCTTCCTAGGATCTCTGTGAGAGAGAAGATGTCCTAATTCTCCCAGCCTTACAGTTGTGAAAACAAAGATCCTGAGACCTAAGCAACTTGACCAAGGTCACGCTTCTTAGTCATGATAGAAACTGGGTTCCATGCTCTGCTCAAACTCCATGTTTGTGCCACTAAGCCATGACTCCTCTCCTATTGGCTTTGCATTGGCATAAGAGGCCCGTAAGATATATAAACACAACAGCAGGAGAAGTAACACTTAAGCCAGCTGTTCTCCATCCTTAATTGCTTTAATGGGAGGAGTCTGTTGGTTGAGCCAGTCAGTGAGCGCCCATTTGAGGAAAGAACAGAAGGAAGTGGGAGGGAAGGGAAACATGAGAAAACAAGCAGCCCTGACAGCAGGAGGTACTGGGCCCCGGATGAGACAGAGGACGGTGTTACAGCCCAGACAACCTTAAAGAAAATATTCTCGACATTTGGGAATGACATACCTCTTTGGGATACATATTCATGAAAATCTGCACACAATTTCAGAGTTTATGGTGCTTCTAAACTCTTAAAGCTTGGGCTCCTAGATTGAAATCCACTGCCCAGAGGTGAGAAATCTGAATAGACTACACATATATTTTAGAAAAGATTCACATTTTTGTTTAATAGCAGGTTTTTGTTTTTTGGGTTTTTTTGGTTTGTTTTTTTGACAGGCAGAGTTAGGACAGTGAGAGGGAGAGATGGAGAGAAAGGTCTTCCTTCCATTGGTTCATCCCCCAAATGGCCACCACTGCCGGCGCACTGCGTCAATCCGAAGCCAGGAGCCAGGTGCTTCGTCCTGGTCTCCGATGCGGGTGCAGGGCCCAAGCACTTGGGCCATCCTCCACTGCACTCCCTGGCCACAGCAGAGAGCTGGGCTGGAAGAAGAGCAACTGGGACAGAATCCGGCACCCCATCCAGGACTAGAACCTGGAGTACCAGTGTCGCAAGCAGAGGATTAGCCTAGTGAGCCGCGGCGCCAGCCTAACAGCAGGTTTTTATGTAAATACACATAAATTGAATAGTTTATTCCCTCAAAACAACTTTTCTTAATGTTCCAAGTGGAGAAATAGTAACATCTTAGCTTGTAAATTCTTTGTGAAATTCCAGGACTGAAAAGTCTCCTTTGAATTAGACAAAGCAGGAGTCCTACTTGACCCAACTAACAGTGAAACAACATAAAACCCTGTTAAAATCCCAACAATGTGTCTTATGAGAACATATCTAGGGGAAAATTGTCTCAAGCATTTCTAAAAAAAGACAATCCCTTGATCTTTCATCAGCTTATCGTTAAGAGATCTGATCTTCCCTCATTATTCTTGATTTATGCCTATGGAATTGTTAATGCTGAGTCATCATGCGATTTACTTACCTTGATGAGTGATAATAAAAAGGTGTTCATCATGGATTTTATTTCCTTTTATTTCACTTTGAAGTTCTTGTGCATTCAAAATTTTTTCCAACTTAAAGTGAAAAACAGAAAGATTTTGATATTTCAGAATGTGGTTTTTCACAACTTTAATAACAATTGAAAGACTATTGGAAATGGTTTCTTAGAGTCCCAAATTCACAACAAACAGATCTATTTTCCTTTAAATAATGAAATGAGTCTCATGAGACAGGAAGAGTTGAATTGATGATTTTTATTGGTATCCAAAAATGTCTGTTAGGATTTTATCATAACAAAAGCTATTACACTCAAAGGGAAGTGATATGCTTTCTATCTCATGCAATAAATATGATGAAAACTTGAAAACAGGTTAGTTGTGTATCTGCCATTCTTTTATTCACCTAAAGTCTGTTTTTAAAGATCTTTATCAGTGAAAGTATCAAGGCTTCTACTTTTCTTCTTTAAAGAGGTAGAAGACAAACAGGTTAAAACAGCCTAGAATGATCTCCAAATATCTCATTTGTTAACATGCTTCTTTTATTGACTAATGATCTCCAAAAACAAAAACAGAAAACAAACAAAAACCTCTCAGGGTGCCTTTAACACTTGTATTTTACTACAAGAGACTTTTAAAGATAATGTTTTGGAGACACACTTGCAGTTTTCTAGGCTAAGGTTTATTGACCCTGACATATTTATTTAAGTTATGTAATGCCTGCCAGCTATGTACACTGTGTCTTATCATTTATACCCCTATGCCCTGGTTCTCAATTCTCTACTTTCACTGTTCCTCTATTAAAGAGGCGAATTTTCACCTGTGAGGCTCTTGAATTGTTCTCACAGAAGTTTAAAAAGGATAAACTTGTATGAATAGGGACATACTCAGGTAAGGAAAATTGTTGATTACTGGCAGGGGGTATGGGGACATGGAAAAGTCATTTAGCAGAATTTGGTGCCTAACAGTGGAGGCCAAGCCCCGTGAGGACCCTGCCCCTTACCTGCAAGTAGCTCCCATAGATGAGTCCTCCTTTGCTCGCCCTGTTCACACCGGTCTGTGATTTGTCTTCGTCCCTGCTTTCTACAGATAAGTTTTTAAAAGCGTATCTGTTGTTTTAATAAATGAGGAGAAAAGAAAAATAGAGTTTGAGAAAGCATACAACTAATAATATGAGCAATTAAAATTCACTTGCTGTTAATTTCGCTTAGATTATTCAACAAGGGAATAAAGGTTTCTGTTCCCAATGATCTTTATATTCAGAAATTTAAATGCTTATATGTGGTGTTCCCAGTCACGTAAACCTACTTAGGAGAGAGGCAAATACTCACCCAAAGTTGTTTCCTAAATATGGGCACCCACTCATGGCGAGGAGGCTCTATCTGCGCACCAGAGTTTTGACTCTAGGTGGGAAGTACCTCTGACTTCTTGTTCTACAGCTGCCTTTTATTGACCCTGTTTACCCTGCACTAGCCAATCAGTTCTCTCCTTGTTCTCTTAGGTTTTCATTTCAGTTGGTTCAGAACTGAGTCTCTGTACATTTGCGAATCCTTGAATCATTTGACTTACCAAGCTCTGCTTTTTAAAAAAAAAAAAAAAAAAAGATTTGTGTGTTTATTTGAAAGGCAGAGTTACAGAGAGATCTTCCATCTGCTGGTTCACTTGCCAATTGGCCGCAATAGCCAAAACGGGCCAGGCCGAAGCCAGGAGCCAGGAGTCAGGAGCTTCATCCAGCTCTCCCATGTGGGTGCAGGGACCCAAGTACTTGGGCCATCCCACACTGCCTTCCCAGGTGAATTGCCAGGGAGCTGGAACAAAAGTGGTGCAGCCATGACTTGGACCCGGCCCATATGGAATGCTGGCAGTGCAGGCAGCAGATTAATCTGCATTTTCACAGAGCTGCCCTGCCTCGACCACCGAGTTCTGCTAGTATATCCAAAGTAATGAAAGTCAAATAAATCAATAGAGGTGAAGTTTTAAAAGTACCGTTCATTATTCAACTCCAAGAAAACACATGGCGTAGAATCAGGATATGTGAGATGACAAACTTGTAGAAAACCAATGTTCTCTCAGATTCAGATATTCCTACAACTTCTAAGGCAGAAACAAAACTGGATATGTCTAAGGAAAGAAATTCAGAGACCAGGTGCTTGCTCAAAGTGCTCTTTCGTCTCATCATTGGAAATATTCTGATCCAAATCCTATGTCATGAACAACAGGTGAGCTTCCAACACATTGCAGTGGAATTCAAGTGGGCATTACTTTGCTGTTCACCTGTGGCAAATCAATGACAGAGCAGTCATCCATCCACTTTGGGGTATAGTGTTGATAGAGAATTTTTAAATAATAACAATTTTAAATGTCAGCAATAAAACAGTCTTCCTTAAAATGATATTTTTTGCTTACAGGCTATACAATAGCTTTAAGGAGCTATTGGGTCAGGACAGAAGCTCCATTACCCTGTCGTTAATATACCTCTCCTACTCATTCATAAATACATGTAGAAACCGCATCACCCATTTATCTCACTCTCTAGAATCACGATGTTTGTTGAATTTATGAAAGAAATTAGAACCAAAAGGTTCATCTCAGATCTTGGCCATACTACTCATCTTCTGATATGAGAAAAATTGATTTAATGTCTGCACATATCAACTTCTTCTCCAAAATAAGGATAATAAAATGGATTGCAAATTTGAAGATTGTAATACCTTGAAAATAATTTTATTGCTATATCAAAAATGATGATGTTTAGTGAAGTTTTCCAGAAGTTTAAACAACATGAAAGTGCTATCATAACAGGGCCATCAAAAAAGGAGGTACCTTTCTCTGAAGGGTGGAGAGAACTTCCACTTTGACTATGACCCTGTCGGAATAAGATCGAAGTCGGCGAATTCAAAAGGCTTCCATAGCCTTGGCAACTCATGACTAAAGCCTAGGGAGATTACTGACGCCATAAGCAAGAGTGTCAAATTGTTAAGTCAACAACAGGAGTCACTGTGTACTTACTCCTCATGTGGGATCTGTCCTTATTGTGTTGTCCAATGTGAAGTAATGCTATAACTAGTACTGAAACAGTATTTTACACTTTGTGTTTCTGTGTGGGTGCAAACTGATGAAATCTTTACTGAATATATACTAAATCGATCTTCTGTATATAAAGATAATTGAAAATGAATCTTGATGTGAATGGAATGGGAGAGGGAGCGGGAGATGGGAGGGGTGCGAGTGGGAGGGAAGTTATAGGGGGGAAGCCATTGTAATCCATAAACTGTACTTTGGAAATTTATATTTACTAAATAAAAGTTAAATAATAATAATAATAATAATAAAAAGAAAGTGTTATCATAAAACCCAGGGAAAACTGTCAACAAGTAACATTTGCTCAGTAGTCATTACTTGGAGATAAACCCAAGGAAAACAGAAAAGAAACTCTTAAGACATTGGTTTTCAAGGAATGGGAGCTTTCACTGATAATCATGGGTTACTTACAGTACTGTTTCTTTTCTCTGTGTAGCTTTAGGATGACTGGCTTCCTAAGGGTGAAAAAACTCCCAGATGTGGCATAAAGAGAGGAAGGAGGCCGGCGCCGCGGCTCACTAGGCTAATCCTCCGCCTTGCGGCGCCACCGGCACACCGGGTTCTAGTCCTGGTCGGGGCGCCGGATTCTGTCCTGGTTGCCCCTCTTCCAGGCCAGCCCTCTGCTGTGGCCCGGGAGTGCAGTGGAGGATGGCCCAGGTGCTTGGACCCTGCACCCCATGGGAGACCAGGATAAGCACCTGGCTCCTGCCATCGTATCAGCGCGGTGCACAGGCCGCAGCGCGCCGGCGGCGGCCATTGGAGGGTGACCCAACGGCAAAGGAAGACCTTTCTCTCTGTCTCTCTCTCTCTCTCACTGTCCACTCTACCTGTCAAAAAATAAATAAAATAAAAAAATTTAAAAAAATTAAAAAAAAAGAGAGGAAGGAGCCTTGTAAACAGGGAAATGGCATGTCTCCCAGGAGGAACCCAGAGGATCTTTCTCACCCTAGGCTTCAGAATGTGGTATTTGTGAGAAACGCCTACAAATGAACTTTTTAATTTCATTTGTATTGAAAACCATGAATATTAGAAAAATAACTCCGTTGAGATTTCCAATATAAATTGTAGCAAACTCCTTCTATTTGCTATTGACAGTGTAATTTTTATTAAAACACTAATAAATTTCTAACACTCATTTTTCCCAAGTTCAATATGATGTATTACTATGTAAAATTTGTCAATAAATTTTACCTTTTAGGGGCTGGTGCTGTGGCGCAGCAGGTTAACGTCCTGGCCTGAAGCACCAGCATCCCATGTGGATGCCGGTTCGAGACCCAGCTGCTCCATTTTCTGTCCAGCTCTCTGCTGTGGCCTGGGAAAGCAATAGAAGATGGCCCAAGTCCTTGGGGCCCTGCATCCACGTGGGAGACACAGAGGAAGCTCCTGGCTCCTGGCTCCTGGCTTCGGATTGGCGCAGCCCCAGCTGTTGCAGTCAATTGGGGAGTGAACCATCGGTTGGAAGACCTCCCTCTCTCTCTCTCTCTCTTTCTCTCTCTCTGCCTCTCTCTCTCTGTGTAACTCTGACTTTCAAGTAAATAAATAAATCTTTAAAAAAATTATACCTTTTATACCTTCCAGTATATAATTTAATAGAATTTTTAAAATTAATATACTATTTTTATTTTTATTTTTATTTATTTTTTTTTTGACAGGCAGAGTGGACAGTGAGAGAGACAGAGAGAAAGGTCTTCCTTTGCCGTTGGTTCACCCTCCAATATACTATTTTTAAATGAGAAGTGGTTTCAAATAATTAATGTAGCATGATTTTATAAAAATAAAATTTACAATGCCATAGTGTTTTACATACTTTTTAAAGTACTAAGAAACACATTTATTATCAAGTACTGTAATGAATAGCTCAGTTCTGAAAAAATGATGTTTTGAGAGGAAAGGAACGGAAATTGTAAGCTATTGACGGATGAAGGGGCAGCAGGCTTCTGAGTCAAGAACTGCTGCTGTCCTGCTGGGTGTGGGTTTTTGGGGTTTTAAAGGAGGCTAGGAGGAAGCAGAAGGAGGTTGGGGTGGGGGAAGTCAAGCTGCATGTTGGCCTCCAGCCAGATGAGAAGGGCTGGTTGGAATCACAGTGGTTACCTGCTCGGTTACTCATGACAGAGTTCCTGGTTGGTCACTGCAGAGCTTTCTGCCCTGAGCCTGGAACCCTCCTGCCCAGACCTGGAGTTTCTCTACATGAAGCCCTTCAAGACAATCCCAGCCATCAAGGTGTTACATGACTACAACATTGTAGGCCCAGCTATTCCATTACCTGAATTCAGCATCTTAAGCTAAAGTAGAAAGACTACGAGACTGGGGCCTGATGGTAGCACTAAAGGCACTATTTAGGGGCTCAACTTCACTACATGAAGACAAGAAAATGATGTATAAGTTTAGGTACGATTGCTATAAAATGCAGTTAGAATCAGATGAAACTAATGTTTTATTGGTTAGAATAGTTGAATAGTGTGCGGGCCAGCCGCACCAGTCGAACGGAACCTAAAGGAGGGAGAGGGACTGAAAAGAGGGACAAGAGATCGCAGAGAATGGAGCCAAGACAACAAGGCAGATCAAGGCTCCTTCATTCCAACGTCTCAGTGGTATTTATACATAGCCAACACAAAGAAGCACAAAAGATAACAACATACATAAGCAACTTATCGGGGCCTCCAGTGGCCCAGATAATTTTAACAGAGCGTTCTTGGTTATCATCCTCCTTCAGGATGTCATCCTCCTTCAGGATGGGAGTATGTGACTTTCTTATCTCAAGAACTCCACAAGCCAAGACTGGCCTTGATTTGTCCAAAGGCTGCCTATAAATATCAGCAATTTTATTTGGTTCATCTCATCATTATTAAAGTCATACTAAATACTTAACACTAAAAACACTACAGACTCTAGTAAGTAAGGAAAGTTTGTAAACCACTCAGGTAAGTCTTTTATTTGAAAATGGGAAAGGCATATTCTGATGCTACTATGATAAACTTTTCTGTTTAGATAGCTAACAAAACTATGTAATTTATTACATGCAGAGAATCCATGATTTTGTATTTTGAAACAGATTGTGTAATTTCAGATCTCGTTCCCCCTTGGTTTGCACCTAAATCCTGGCAATAAGTTCAGAATATGGGAGCTATCTCCATGTGCCTCTACCTACTGGACTTTTCTTCATTCTCTTTCACATATCTCAAAAGCGTTGCTGCTGGATACTTTCCATGATATCCTCAGGAAGAGCGATTTCATCCTCCTCAGTGCTCAACAAACTTTGTTCTTCTTTAAGTTCTTTGTACTTACCTCACGTTCACATTTTTAGGTTTTATGCCTGACTTTCTCTCTGGCTTATATTTCTTCTGAGTTACCACTGTGTGTTACTTCTCTTTGAACTTTCTGCACCCAACATATTCAGGCAAATAAGAACACGAGTATT